AAACAAAAATTAATAAATTTGGATGGCGTGCCAATCAAACTTCAAATTTGGGATGTAAGATTGATTTGATATTTATAAAGTATGTAAAGTTTTTCTGATAAAAAATGGTTTTCAGACGGCAGGTCAAGAACGTTTCAGGTGCATTTTTCAATCAAACTAATCTTCTAATGCAAATTTCAATACTCATAAACAATTTTCTTTTAGAACATTGACAACAGCTTATTATAGAGGTGCTATGGGAATTCTATTGATGTATGATGTTACCAATCTTGAATCCTTCAACAATTTGTCTTATTGGCTTAGAAATATTCAAGAAGTAAGAGAAGTGAATGTTTTCACAAAAAAAAATCGAAATTAAACAGAATTAATAAAATGTTTATATCTAGAATGCATCACCTGATGTTGTGAAAATTCTTGCTGGAAATAAATGTGAATGTTCGACAGCACGAAGAGCAGTTGACAAAGAGAGAGGTGAAAAGGTAAGCATAAATTCGAATTCATAAGAAAACCAAATATTTTTTATTGAAAAACTTTAGATAGCGGAAACTTTTGACATGCCGTTCTTTGAAATTAGTTGCAAACAGAATATAAACATTGAAGAGTGTTTTCTTACTTTAGCCCGAAGTATTAGAGAGCAAAGAGAGCACAGAGTGAGTTGTTTTTTATGTTTTATTAAAGGTAAAGTTTATGCTAAAGCTACGATTCTTTTATTAGGGAGAAAACTTTGATGATGATGAACAATCGAAAGATAAAAATAAATCAAATGGCTTTGAAGCCTTCACTTTAGGAAATACTTCAGAGAGTGGGCGATGCTTGTGTTAAATTATTTATGGTTTTTTTTAAATAACTTACACTTAATTTCATATCAAGCTGAAAACAAAATCTTTAAAAAATTGCGAATAAGTGTGACGAGTTATTCACCCAGAACCGAAGCTATTAAATATACATACCAATTGAAACCCAAATATTTCAGCTATGGTTTATAAAGTGATTTTAATGCTTAAGAGATAACTTGTGTTTACTCAGATCAACAGAAATTTTCCTTAAACAGGTAGCTATTTGACTGAGTTATTGTATTCAGTTTATTTTACACTTTTATTGCCAAACCGAATGTCAATGTCAATTTCGTGTTAAATGCTACAATTTTCAATATTTTATTTACATTTTTTGTCTTTCAATTACTACATAAGTAATTATACATTTTAAATAGAACACATCGAAATAAACACTTTAACTTGTATTTTTTACAAATGTAAACTCGAAGAGTTTTATGAAAACTATTTAGAATTTCAGGTATTTTCAGAGGAAAATATTTTTACTTTTACAAATATTATTAATCTATAAAATTTAGAAGAAAAATGTTTTAAATTAGATGCAAGCGCTTGACAATTGAAATGTCATTTTGTCTAAAAATGCTTTCACAACCTCGTGTCGCATACTGTTAATCCGCCACCAATACAAGCAGCATATGCGATGAAATGCGGAATCGTGTTCTGTTCAAGAACGCCAGTAAACAAATGAGAGTGGGGTCCTCTAGCGTAAATAGGAACATCGTCACCTCCATGAGTTTCAGAATTCAGCGGAACTAAAGACGGATATCTATAATCGTTGAACTCTGAAATACAATCAATCATTTAAATAACGTATTGTGAATGTTGACTCAAGGAAAAAAGACTAAACAGTACACTCACTCATTTCATCTTTTTTTATTTTGTATCGTTTCTTCACACCAGACGGTCCATTTGCATAAGATAAAGTCATATAGGGTAAGTTATCAACATCCGATATTTCCGAATTGAGTCCGAGAATGTCTTGTCCTCGCTTTGAATAACCACTCATGGTCATTGTATGAGCATGATCGGATGTAACCACTATTAGTGTGTCTTCTTCACTTGTCATCTCAATCCCAGTTTGAATTGCTTCAGAAAATTCAACAGTCTCTTCCAATGCATGTTTCGCGAAATTTTGATGATGTGCGTGATCAATTCTGCCACCTTCAACAAACAAAACAAAACCATTTTCATGTTTTTTCAACACATTTATTGCAGATGCAGTCATTTCTTTTAGAGAAGGTTGATCGGACCCAGCATCTAAATGGAATTTCATGTGATCAGATTCAAATAATCCTAAGACGTGTTCCACGTTCGAATGATTCATTTGATTCATGCCTTCAGAGTTGTGGATATAATAAGCTTTCGGGGAATTTTTATTTGTTAGCCACTCATCAATAAGATCAAGACCATCAATACGTTGTCCTCTCTGCCCTTCTTCGTCTATGATTTTTTCGGATAAAATTTTTTTTCTACCACCTCCATAAATCACATTAAATAAATTTCCCGGTTCTTCTCGAATCAATTGTTTAGCAATATCAGAACATTTCCGGGCATCAGGAAAAGCTTTCATATCAGCATCACTTTCCCAGTCTCTATTGGCTGTTCGTGCATACGTTCCTGCAGGGGACGCATGAGTAATTCTAGTATTAGTTACAATTCCAGTTGCTTTTCTTGCGTTTTGTGCCCAATTCATTATAGAGCTTAATTGGTTTAGTTTATTACGACTTGATTCACAATCATTTAGTTGCACTTTTGGATTGACACCAATTGTTGCATAGTTTGCTTTGACACCAGTAAGATAAGCTGTGGCAGAACATGCACTGTCAGCTGTTTGTTTATCATAGCAGTAAGTCTTTTATATGTGAAATAAAAAAGAATTATTTAAAGCATAAAGTCAAATATTTCTTTCAACTCACTTTCGATAAACCAATGTAAGGGAATTTTTCAAATGAAAGTAGACTTTCTTCTCCAGAAAGTCCCTGTTTCTGTCCGAAATAAATTCGAGCTGCTGTGACAGTCGATAATGACATTCCATCCCCAAGAAATATTATGACATTCTTAGCAACATTTTCGTTAACTTTGTGTTTAAGTTGACTTTTCAACTTATTTTGTGCCTGCGTTCTCCAATAACTTGTCGTCGCCTCAAAACCGTTAATATGAAGTTTCTTTTCTTTACTTTCTTGTGTCACTCGAATTTTATCGAATGATAAAACATTTGCATCACTTATAGAAAAACTAAATTTTAAAATGACTAAAATTGAAATCACAAAACCATTTTTCATTTTGTTTTTCTAAATTTAATTAAGAAAAAAAATTAAGTAAAAAGAACAAGTATCAACATTCAACAGTTCGGCTTCAAATTACCCACGAAACTAAGTTTTAAATTAACAAACGTCGTGTTTAAATACTCACGCTAAACTTTTGCCCAGTAGTAATAAATTCTTTAAACTGTATGAGAAGTCATACAGCTTTAACTTAACTATTCATTTTGCAGACATCTAGGTATATGGTGAATTCCATTACAATTTCTTGTGACAGAACAACGTTTACTTCACACGTTTCCATGGGTAAATATTTATATAAAATTGAAATTTTCATCTCTTATTTCGATGTCTTGCAAGGCCTTGGTATTATTTAAATAAATTATGCAAATTTCCATCTGGTTCTAGGCAAGAATTAATGTCCCTTAGATTTTCTTAGATGGTTTTTTAAAAAAAATTATAATCATCATAAGGTCCTAAAAATGCTCCCATGTTTATTGGATGTTGGATTATAATTTATAAGGAAGTGGCATTAAAGCCGCCTTGCAATTTTTTTATGCAATAAGGGTCGAATTACTTTTTTCTAAAAGTTCTTGCAGATTTAGTTACTGAGCACCAATCATTTTTAAAGCTTTAACCTTAATATTTTATTGATTTTTATGGACGATGCATCGCGATGCTTTGATGGAGTTTAAGTGGACAAGTCAAAATACTGAAATTTTTGTCCCTTTAACTTTCCACAAAAGTTTTTAACGGAAATTTTTTTTGAAATGTTGACAGTCGGACATAATTACCTACCTACCTATTATTTCTAATGTTAGTGTAGTTCTTAAAATAATGTAAACATTGATGTTAAAATGTTGAATATCTTCAAAACTTCGTCGCGCTTCTTCCGAGTTTTAAATTATTGTCACCAAAGAAACCTAAGTGTCGACTTGAACCAGAAATCTTATATAAAAGAAGGTGGCAGGAATATAGTTGACTTCTATTTAAATCTTTTAGGTATGCTTTAAAAAATTAAATTTTATCTATCAAGACTTGTGATGAAAAATAATTCTTTCTTTTTAAGATTTAAATACGAGAAAAGCAGTTGAACTGGTACAAAAACATCCAGAATTGTGGAGGGAAAATGTGGATTTTTATGAGATAAACAACACTGTTCAATATCTCAAAGCAAACAAAATGACTAACGACGATATATTAAATTATCCTTCATGTATGCTCTTAAGTCGAATGACGCTCATGAATAGAAAACAGGTTCTTCATGAATGTGGATTTCAGAAACTTCAAATATATCTTTTTCATAGATTTTTAGTTATAATGAAAAAGGAAATAAATCGTCTTAAAGCTTTCAATTATATTCCACAAAAGAAAAATGTGGTTGAGGATATGCTGAAGCATCTTGATGTTCCAATAACATTTAAAGAGAAAGTGAATGAAGAAATGTCACTTCAGGAAATACGGAAGAAGATAATCAATTTGTATCTTGCAAGAAAACTTCAAATGACGGAAGAAGATATCACAAAAACCTTTCATATTTATCAACGATTGAAACACAGAAGCTTAGATTCGATTGTGCGAATTATTGATGTAATGGAGAATAAACTGGGATACCAAAGAGAAAAAATAATAAGCAATGCTTTTCTACTTCATGCATGTCCAGATAATCTGATTCGAATGCTTACTGAAGTTCCGTATATTGGCAACACCCCAATAGAAAAGATTCTCATACAAAGGCCGAAGATTGTAATGACTAGTGTAGATACAATTAAAAAAATCCTTGAACATTTAAAATCTTTTGAAATCTGTGAATCAGCACTTTTGAAATGCACAGGAATATTGACACTTGGAGCTGATACGGTTTACAATCGTTTAGTTCAATTGAGAAACATTGAAGAGTTTAATGTGCTGCGAAGACATCCTCGAATACTTTTCTTAATTTATTTCCAAAACAAAGCAAAAAATAGGCTTGACTATCTTAAGCAAATCAAAGTTGGATGTGCCTCAATCCATTTACTCTCAAGCACCTCAGAAACATTTGAGAAATATGCAAGAAGTGGAACTGACAAAACAAAAGGGCATGACATTTTGTTTTACATAGCAAAAGTTTTAAACAAAGACAGAGATGTGGTCAGAAGTCAGTTGAGCAGACATCCTTATTGGCTTCATGTGCCTCTCTTAAATGTCAAAACTGCATTTGAATATCTTCGCTACAAAAAATTTAAGTCTGAAGATATTTCATTAAATATAGTTCTTCTTCTTTATCCCGTTGAGAGAATAGAACAGAAATTAAAAAACATTTTGGAATTACAAGTAGAAAAGTGTGAAGAAAATATGATTCTTGGACCACCTGCATTAAGACTATCAAAAATTCAATTGTTGAGTCTCTGTCTTTACTCGATTGAATTTGATTTTCATTTTAGTGGCGATGGAATTTGGGAAGTGAATAAACATGATCAAAAACAAGATATTTATAACGCACCACTTCCAATTATACAAAAACAGAATTTTCGTAAATATAAAGTTAGCCATTTAAAGCGTAATCAAGAGGATCTGGCAGTTGAAAAGAACATCGTATAACATGAATTATAATTTTTAATTTAAATAGAAATCAGTTGAATGAATAATAAAAGAAAATTTATAATACAAACAAATACTTTTAAGGCAGTTTGGTAATGAAAACAACGTCAATGTTTCAGATAAAAGTGCCATCATTATAAATTCGAAACTACCTGCAACTTTTAATAAATCATGATTCATGTGGTGGATTAAATGTGGAATATTTTTTATTCGATGATGGTAAATTGCACAATTTATCGATGAATGAATGTCTGAGATGGTAAAGATGTCATAAACTAATTAAAACTTATTAGTCGATGTTTAACTGAACGTCATTGTTTGACTGTGAGTTCCAGAGTTGTTGCAGTCTTTCATAAGCACGCATTGATATGTTCAGACTTGGCATTACTTCCAGTAGTCCAGGCTCGCGTAGAAAACTAAGTCCACAAAGTCCAAAGTACGTGTGAAAAGGATCAGACGATATTCCAGGCCATTTTGAAAACCTAAATATTTTATACATACAAATTTAAGTAGTGTGAGACGAATTTCAGATAAATAAATTTATTTTTAGCTTACCCGCCAACCACAGAATCTTGACATGACAAAATATAATCCTTGTTCTCTTTAAAATTACTCAACTCAAAAGCTCCAACTATTTTCAACGCTGCTCCAATCCAAAATGAATAACCTGATAATTGATATTAATTAAGAAACATTGATCTAAATAGAAAGAATTTTCGTTTTACATGAGTCAATTGGTTTGTTTGGTCTTCCTTGAAATCCTCCATCTTGACGGAATAACAGCCACCGTTTGATCTTTTCTCGTTGTGTAGATGACAATAATTCTAATTGATCGCTTAATTGAAGAGCGGCAAGGGCACAAAAAGTAGTCCCACCATGAGACTCCATTTCAAAGTGTTGACTAACGCCACCATCGTATCGCTTGATAGAAAATTATTAATTAAACGCGCTTTCAAAACATAATCTCAAATATCTTACAATTGAGTTGATAATATAAGCACCCATTGTTGATTTGTTTACACAACCCCAATCGTTGAGCATATGACAGATACAGCAGGCACAATAAACAAATCTCATATCGTACTCGTTACCCTCTATGGACGCACTAAAACTTCCATTTGGTCTTTGTACTGCTGCTACGCCTATAATCGACATTTTAGAAACTTTTTGGAAAACAAATTGATTTACTACGACCTTCAATGATCGACTTCCTGTTTAATCTCGAAAGATCATCACCTAAGATTATTAAAGTCGCTATGCAAGTATAAGTCATTGCTAGATGTCCCCATTTGTAATCATCAGTTGAGTATTTTTCAGGACAATCCAAAAGATTTAATGTCGTTGCTCCCTTAAAAAGAAAATTTCAGTTCAAATTCAACATAAATTCTGAGAAATAAATTGAGAAATATGTTAAAATTGAGTTTACCTGGAAACCGCCACAATGAACATCACTGTTTGGAATGACTTGTAGGCTGTAAATCCAGTCGATAATATTTTGTTTCGCCGTATCAGATAATAAATCAAGTGAGTCTAACACATCAATCCCTTAAAAATGTTCAACAAAAATGTTCAACAAATATCATATTCCATGCAATATAACTTCTATATAAATAAATCACAAATCTTTCCTTCAGTTTTACTAAATGTTTACATACCTGATACAGCAAAAAATGCTATCGTAGCCCGAGTTGAGTCATGACGTGAAAGCCTTGGAGGAAGAAGGTTTAGAAACCTGCTGAAATATTTTGCATGAACTCTTCTGTTCATTTTTAGTTACAGACTGAACTTAAAGTTTACGTAAATTATATATACACTCTCCACTTAAAACTGCACCCCCAAAAATTTAGTTTCAGGTGGAGAGTGTGAAATCTCGCGGATTAGGAGAATTTTGTGCGGAAGCGATATTTTTAGAAAAATCTTAAAATTTGCGTATTATACGCGAAAAAAGGATTTGAATTTAAAATCGTTAGAAAATTCGAACAAAATTATTCTAAAAAAGTTAATCTAAGTATTTTTTTATTTACTTCTGAAATTTGTATTTCAATCATCTTTGGTTATTGTTATCGGTTACTTCGAGTTATATTTTCCTTTTGAAGGAATCTGGTTGTGAGATCATAAAATCCGAAAAAGATTGCTCCACCTATGGTAATCCACAAAACTCTTGGAACAAAGCCGGCAAAAAATCCCTTGACACCTTTTTCACGATAAATGGATTTAGCGACATTTCTTACAGATGTATTTTTGCTACCAGCATCAGCTAGCATGATACGAGTTTTGATAACATCTAAAGGCGTTGTAATGCCTGCAGCTATTCCTCCTGAAATTGCACCACACAATGCTACAGAGAAAGGTGTTGATGATAAACCAGTGACTGGTTCCCACTGAAGTTTTAAAAATTCCCACAAAGGAAATTGGATGAAACTGAATGGAACTTCTCTCATTAAAGTCGTGCCAAAGCCTCTATACAATCCTTTCCTTATACCTTCTTGTTTAAATGCTTGATAAAGAACTTCAAATGATGACATTTTTGATTGAACTATGAGGGCCTGTTTCCGTTGCTTCGCAATTTCAACAGGAACTCGTATAAGACAGGCCATAAACTCTCCGCAGCATGCAGCAAACATATGAACATAATGAGCTTGTTGTTTTGTTGTATGTTGACCAAGGTGAGATTTTATTGATTCGTAGGTTACAAAAAAGAGTGCAGCAGTGGGCGATGAACCAGCTGCGACAGGTCCAATTCCTTTGTAAATACCAGTAAATCCACCAGATCGCTTGAAACCTCGTTCACTTTGAAGGCGTGTCTTGATTGTGTCTATTGGAAAGAGTGCAATATCTACGAATAGTCCTGCAACACCCCCAGACTATTGAACATAAATAGATTTAATAAATTTATGAAAGAAATTTTACAATTTTAACATCTTACAATTAATGATGTCCAATAAATATTGGGATTAAACGTTGCTTTTACTTCAACTTCCATGTCATGTCATTCAAAAATTGGTCAACTTTAAATAATAGGAAATAGTACGAAGAACTTAAGTTTTTAGTTTCTGTTTAATGTTGGTTATAAACAAGTTTTTCAATTCCAATATGTACTTCCCCCATCTCTTTCTATGATATTTTTTTACACATATATGGTGTTTTTTCTCCCCTTGGTATCCCCCAAATGGTATTTTTCAAATTTCCCCTTGTATCCCCCAATGTTATTTTTTAATGTTTTATTTGATGTTTTTTTAAAACATTGTTATTCTTGATCATATTTGTACACCCCTCATACTTTATGTCCGGGATCGACCACATTTCCATACAAAATCAAAAACGTGTTGTAGCTTGATCAGAAACATGGAAACAGCAATTTTAAACGCGTTGATATTCGATTATTTAAGTAAAAAGGACAAAGTTTTAGCGGAAACAGTGAAAACAAAGTTGAAAGCTGTAAGTAAATCATGAAAAATGTGGAAATTATCTTGAAAATGTTTGAAAGCAAAACGATTTCATTTTGTCAAAGCACATTTTATAACAAAAAACGCATTTTCAATATTCGTCTGATCTATAACATGTCGCTTTTAAATATTTATTCTAATCTTCTCTTATTTTATTCATTACTTATTTTCTTCTATTAAAATTGATAAAGAATGCTGTTCCAAAAGGATGCCCGAAAATTGAAGAGATAATTGAATATTATCAAAAGAATGCACCTAAAAAATTACCGAAAAAGCTTGCAGCCGAATCTTCAGAAGATTCAGATTCTGAAGACTCAAGTGAAGATGAAAAACCAGCACCGGTAAAGAATGGAAAAGTGGCAAATGGTAAAAATGTAGCTATAGCAAACGGAAACGGAAAGAAAAAGGAATCCAGTGATGATTCTGATGATTCAAGTGAAGACGAAAAGCCAGCACCGAAAGCTACTCCTAAAGTTGTTCCTGCTAAAGCTACACCAGCAAAATCGGCAGCAGTGGCAAAGAAAAAGGAATCAAGCGATGAAGACTCAAGTGAAGATGAAAAGCCAGCACCGAAAGCTGCTCCTAAAGTTGTTCCTGCTAAAGCTAAACCAGCAAAATCGGTACCAGCGGCAAAAAAGAAGGATTCAAGCGATGAAGATTCTGATGACTCGAGTGAAGATGAAAAACCAGCTCCAAAAACTGTTGCAAAGGTTGTTCCTGCTAAATCGGCTCCACCTGCAAAGAAGAAGGAATCAAGCGATGAAGAATCGGATGACTCAAGTGAAGATGAAAAGCCAGCACTGAAAGCTGCCCTAAAAGCTGTTCCTGCTAAAGCTACGCCAGCAAAATCGACACCAGTGGCAAAGAAAAAGGAATCAAGCGATGAAGACTCAGATGATTCAAGTGAAGACGAGAAAAAAGTTCAAGTAAATGAATGAAACAGAAGTTTTTATTAAATTTTTAAACTTATCACGTTTATTTTAGCCTAAAAAACCAGAAATTATAAAAAAACAAGTAGCAGCTAAAAAAGAGAGCAGTGACGATGATGATGATGATGATGATGACGATGATGAACCAGCAACAAAAGCCGCAGCAGTTGTTAAAAAACCTGCAGTAGTTGCTAAAAAAGCTGAATCAAGTTCAGATGACTCAAGTGACGAAGATGAGGAACCAGCAGTGAAACCAATCGTTAAGAAAGCAGCTGTCGCAAGCGCCAAGAAGGAGTCATCAAGTGACGATAGTTCAGAAGAAGAAAAACCAGCACAGAAGGTTCAACCTAACGCTCAAAAGAAAGCAGTTGCTAAGAAGGAAGAAAGCGACAGTTCAGAAGATGAGGACGAGGAGGAAGAAGAAGAAGAAACTCCAATTCCTGTTTCAGCAACAAAAAAGCGAAAAGCTGAAGAAAACGCAGAAGAGGAAGAAGAATACGAAGGTCCCGTGATTAAAAAACCAGCCTACAATAATTTTGTAAAAGCTGGACAGAACAAGGTAAGTTAAAATGATGAAAATGGTTTTCATGTGGAGATTTTCAGGAGTGATTCTGTAAATATTGCAATTTCCCTTAATAAATCTCCTAGAGAAAAAAATCTTCAATTGAGAAATTTATGCTAAATGAAAATTTTATCAAATTTTTTCATTTTTATTCTCATACGAAGAGAACAAAAAAAACGTTTACACAATCTCTAACATGCTTTCTGCATTACTTCAACAATTCTTTTCTCTTAAGATTCAAACGATTTCAAATTCATCTTTCAATGGCAACACGCCGAAAAATCTTAAAAATAATTTTAACAAAAAATCATTAAACTCGGACGAAAAGCGAGGAATTGAAAGATTTCGTCGTGTTAAAGAGGAAGATGTTGAAATTGATAATCGCGTTGTAGACAATTCTTTTGAAGCTAAGGTTAGTGTCCTTTAATGTTCTTTTCTGTTGAGATGAGAAAAGAAAGAGAAGAAAGATCTTTGATTGGATGCAAGAAATTGATTGCGGAAAAATTATTCTTTCATTTCCTTTCGTGGCTTTTCAGAACTGTTAAATATTTAAGGACACAGTCTTATCAGTGACATTCGATCGTGTAAACTTCGTCATAATTTCTTTTCCTTTTACATACATGCAATGATTTGTTTAAACATCCATTAATGTTAACTTTCTTCTCTTTTTTTCCGTTTCATATTTTAACCAAATCAATCAAAAAAATGACGATCAAGCAGAATGAAAATCATGGAAATGATAAGAGTGGATTTGGTGGAAAGCCAAAGTTTGAAAGGAATAGTGGAAAGTTTGGAGAAAGAAAATCATTTAATGGCAATGAGAATAGACAAGACGATTGGCCATGTACATTGTGTCAGAACAGTAACTTTGGTTGGAGGAAACAGTGTCAAAAATGTAACGCTTACCCAGATGGGACACCAGGAGAGAAAAAAGTTATCGAAGTGCGCGAAGGGGATTGGACATGTCCATCGTGTAACAACAGCAACTTTGCTTGGAGGACAGAATGCAAACGTTGTAATGCTGTTAAAGAAGGTGGTGCTGCAGGTGGCACACCCAATCGTGGGGGATTCAGAGGTGGACGAGGTGGATTCAGAGGTGGTCGTGGAGGCAATCGTGGAGGTGGTGGACGGGGAGGCAATCGTGGTGGCTTCAACAAATCTTTTGGAGGCTTTGAAAATCGAGGCGGAGCTGCTGAAGCGTCAAACAACAAAAAAATTAAATTTGATGATTAAATATTTCTCTCGATCGTCATTTAATTTTATTTTATTTTCCATTTTTCATCTTTAAAACTTTTATCATGTTTTATAATCAAATATAAAAATAGAAAAACGCTCGAGGATCCTTCGGAGAGAAAGCAAACGACGTTTTAAAATTCACCAGAGGAAAACAGTTTCGTCATGAGAAGACAAAGAAAAAACGTGGAAATTACAGAGGCGGTGCCATCGATGTATCAGTTAATTCAATCAAGTTCGAGGATTAAAATAGAAAATTTGATTTTTTCCTTTTTTGAAATTTCATCTTAAATGAAATTTATTTCTCACATCATTCTTTGCTTAATCACAAGCAAATGCATGGGTTATTGCATTAAATGGTTAATTATAAATGTTTAACAATGTAAGAAAAATATAAATCAATAATTATAAATAATAATAAAGAAATATTTCAATTTAATGGATTTAATTAATTGTTTTGATCTGATTGATGCGGTTTGCATCTAAGTAACAAAGGAAAAATTAATTTAACAGATTCAATAAGTATGACACTCAGCAACAAACAGGTGGGGAAAGAATATGAACAGAAATATCATCGTCAGCATCATCTCAATGATTTATTCATTTAATCTCTCGACTTACATGTCAATAAACTTTAATTTCCAATTTTGGGCAGACGGCCACTTAAATCTCCACCCATTTCACTTTTTACAAATGGTTCAAATAAATTAAACTTTTGCCCTTTTATGATGAGATTTCTCACTTCAGGGAATTCAAATCAAAAAATGTGTGAGATGAAAGAAAATAAGATTTTTTTATGTCGAAAAGACTGGAAGTAGAAATAAATTGATTAAATTAACAGATAATAAATATCAAGTTGATTCAAAATTATCTTTAAGAAGAGAGTTTTAAAAATTTCATTCATCAATTTGATAGCAACGAGATAAGTCGAGAAAATCAAAGAGATTGCAAGTTTTTGAATAATGGAAAAGTGTTGTAGAACTATTTTGTGGACAGCATGGCAAGTCATTTAAAGTTTCTTCTACTCGTCGAATAAATTACTAGGTAAAAATTTCTTTACAATTTCTTCTATTCAGTGTTGCATTAATCATCATTGGCATTGGTGCTGCAATTTACTTCATCGTTGACGATGCCATCGACAAGAAAATTGAAGGCTGCATGTATAGACATTTCTACGCAACCAAACTCTTAGAAGAGTTCAACGTCACACTTGACAGAGATCCTTCAAAAATCAATTATTCAGCTGAAGAATGTCAAACAATTATTGATCAGGGACGAAGGAAAACTTCTTTTAAGATCGATAAAATGGATTTTCCCGACTGTTTCAAGCAACAATTGAAAGGGACATATCTCGACAGCATGATGCTTAAGGCAGTGTTAGAGAAATATGGACGCGACTATAAAATTGTGTTGCAAACAGTGATGGCTAAAGTTCGAGCTGTGTGTACAGCACCTAAATCACCATCAGCATAATTATGTTAATTTGTATCTAATTGATAATCACCTCCATTAAGCCATTAAAATATGCATTAGTTTTTATTTTGCTACGTTCTCCAGTTGTTCACATAATTTGTACTCGGGTGACTCTAAAATTATGAACAAATATCTGTTAACAGAAATATTTTTTAATTTAATGACAAAGATTGAGGTAGATTGTTGACTAATTTATTGACTTCGACTGACTTTGAATTTAAACAAAGTGAGTTATTCTTATGGAAAACTATTTTGTTTCATTCATGATCGTTTCTGAATTGTCCGATGAAAATGTGAGTTGTCGGAAAAACTTCCTTGTCTTACCTCTCTGCATTCCTCCATCATGACATCCACATAAAGAGCTGAACTCTCTTATGAATATCGTTCGGAACTTTCTAACAAGTACAACATAAATGATGAAATTCACACTTGAATTGACTGTCACGAAGAAATTTGAAGTCTTCGTGAGTATATCATTGTGAATATGAAGCGTTTCTACAATATTTGTAACAACTGCTAGACAGTTACAACAAAGGAAAACTATCACAACACAAAACAACATTGTCGTCAGTTTGATGTCTTGTCTTTCTTTACTCGTCAGTTTTACTCTCATTCTGTTCACTATTTGCACTTGTCGATAGATCCTAATGTTGAAGATCGTTATACTCGATAAAGGAATGAGATTCATAAAGATAAAATATAACCAATTTATGTAGATTGTAATGTAGAGTTTGTTAGTTCTAAGCATGGATGCACTGACGTAATAAAATTTTCCAAATTCTTCGTCTTGACTCTCATTCAAATTTATCTCAAAGAATTTTGGTATGTTGTACAAAATCGACATAAAGACGATGACAAAAATGGACATCTTGGTGCGTGTTTGTGTACAGAACGATTTCGCTTTGAGTGGGTGACAGACAGCAATGTAGCGTTCAAACGAGATTAAAAATGTCATGTAAACGCTGATCGTTTGTGCAATGATTGCAACTGGATATGTGAGACCAGCGAGCATCGGCTGTGTAACAAAGTAATAATGTTTCAAGCATCCATTGTAAGGATAAATAGTTGTCAACGCAAAGAGAAGAATCGATGTGATGATCAAAATCAAATCTGATGATGCCAATGCAATCAAAATAAAATTTGGTGATGATCTCATTTGTTTGTGTGACAACACACGAATTGATGCCATATTTCCAAAGATTCCCATCAATCCAATTAACATAATTCCAACACCATTCAACCAGAAGCCAAATGTAACATCAGCATCTGGATCTAACAGATTTTCCATTTTAACTTGACTTGAAATTGTCATATTTGTTGGGGAAGTCATCGTTGTTATAATCGAAGTCGTAGTCGTCTCATTGAGATTCATTTCTCCTTGACGGTTCTGTGGAAGAAAAGAGAAAGAGAATTCGTTGAATATCAAGTTTATGGTTTGTGTGAAGGAAGCGCAACACATTTCGTGTCTTATTGCTTTGATACTAAATAAGCAGCAAACAAAAAAGTGAAACACGTTTTCTCAAAATCTTTTCATTTTCAATTATTTATGTTGCTCTATTTTTCCCCTTAAGACGCGAATCTCAAATTTCGCTCATCTTTCTGTATTCGTTGAATCGAGCCCATTCTGCATTATCAGCAATCAGTGCTTGACGTAATAAACGACCGACATTAAGCAACTTAGTTCAATGTTTGATTCTTTAAAGCTTGTAGCGAACAAAGTAATAATGCCAAAAGACAAAAATAAAAAATAAATTAATGAGAACGCGTCATTAATGATATGCAACAAACACAACAGATTTTTTTTATGCGCTTATATATGCTACAGTTGTTGATGTAGTTAGATAATTAAAAATATTGCATTCTAAATTAGTTTAAGCAATATTTCTTCGAGAAATAATTTTGTAAGCACTCACAGTTGAATTTTTATATTTTAATTCAACACACGTCTACACACCCAACCAGTATTCAACGGACTGAGCGAAAAATTCACAACATGAATGGCGAAAGAGAAACAGAAGGAAACCGACCAGTTTTTCATGTGGTCTTTGTTGATTCCTACTACAACCAACAACAACATCGACGACGACGACGACGACGACGACGAATTCATGAGAGAAAAGATTTCGTATGCAATCTTTTGACCCTTTTCGTTTGATAAATGCTCGGCTTTTGAGTCGAGCAAAAGCTTAATTCAACCACATTTTGATAAGAACTTGACACGAACCTAAGTATAAATTGACGAAGGCTTGAAAGCACTGGCATTGTGAACCCGACTCAAAAGCAGCTTTAAGAACTTTTTCTTCTATTCTTTCATTGTTTTTGTTTCATTGTAGATAGAAATGATGATACGAATGTAAGGGTAATGTAAAGGGTTATAAAATGCTATCAGCAGGTGTCATTAAAATAAAGCACAATTTTGAATTTAATTGTTTAGTAGGATAAGAATTAACAAGAAATTAATTTCTAATTTATGAATAAGGAAATCTGATTTTAAAATTTAAATTATAAATCAAAAACTTGAGGATAGTTTCGAAAAAGAAAATATTAATGTACAGTTGCTTACACTTGTTTAAACAATGAATGAATGTATGTCGAACAACGTTTTATTGTTTCCTTGTCTTTAGCAGACGTCAGTAGTTGTCACCGTTCGATTTGAGTCTTTTTTTTAATTTCTTCCACATTACATTTCATAAAAATATTTAAGAGATTATTGAAATTTCTTGAGATTGTCTAATTTCTTTTTTCATGAAGTAAATGTCAACTTAAACAATTTCATATGCAACACGTCACAATCATTCAGATAATTTTTTTATGATACGATTTTAACTTTCCGCAGTGAAAAAATTATTTCCTTGTTTCATTCTTTGTTTGATCATTGATATTTTTTTGTGCTTTGTTTCTCTTTCAACTTCTTTCCAATAACTGTTTAAGCGATTAACCATTCATATTCAAAAGCGATCTGTTTCGTGAATTTCTCCTTGAAAAAAAAACAACAACGTGTTTTGAGAGACAAGCCTCTCTCATTACTATTTCATTTATTTAAAATTTGTAATGAAATGTGATCGATAGTTGATAAATTGTTTTATGTACTGAAGAACTTCTGCTACTAAAATGGTTTATTGTAAAGACAAACCACGTTTGCAATAGTAAACAATTTCAAATAAAAAATAAGTCACGTTTGTTTTCGATTTTTATTCTTTGGAAATATTTTTTCAAATTTTATTTCAAGCATCAAAGCGTGTAAAGTTTTATGCTCTTGAAGATTTAAATTCCAATGCTCGCATGAAGAACATAAATTTTGCTGCATACAACTTTAAGTTGGAGTTTCACGAGAAGATTCAGAGCATAATATTTATGGAACTTCGTAATCTCTCCCTTGACTAAAAGCTTTGTCCGTTTTCCATAAGAAAAACCAATTCAGTGTTTGTGTTGAAAAAGGTTCACAGTTGATCTGCATTTGGGATTTGTTATTTAAAAAAGGAAATTTTCAATATCTTGAGTCGTTAAGTCTTGTTAAAAACTTAATCGCACTCTAAGGAATTTCTCATGTTGTTGATGTGTTGAAAATGGAAAAATCTTTATTTAAACAAAGAGGGTTGCGAGTTTAAAACATTATTCCTCATTTTTATTCTTTCTTTTTAAAGTGCTTTAATTAACAAGAAGAAATGTAATACAAAATATTCATATTGCAATATTTATTTCATAAAAGGCCAGTTAATAATACTAAGCAATACTTAAAAAAAATTTGAAACTGATAAAGAGATAATTAATATAAGTAATGTTTAATATATTTCTTAACTAAATAAATTCAACTTATTCAACTATTTTTCATCATTATTGTCGAGACATATTTGTTAATACTATTAACTTATTATTTACTACTTTTCATCTCCACTATAATTATTGTTGTAATACCGTTGATCTTCGTTATTAATGGACATTAAATTATTTTCATCGTTTAATTCAACTTTAACATTTTGTCGACTTTCGTTTGTGTCCGAATTGTTGTTGAGGTTGACGATATAAGGAATTACATTATCAATCTTGATAAAGTCAACTAACGTATTGAAAAAGAGACATTCAATAATTTTAACATCAAGTGACGAGAGAATCGAAAGTGATTGATGGAGGGAAATAACACGATCATGAATTTGTTCGTTTGAAATGTTGTGATTTTTGAGAAAAGTTTTAAGATTAGCGCCAACCTTTTGATGATAAGTTTGCATCTTTGAACACATTGGGTAGCATTTGTTTGGATTGAAAAGACAGAACATTCGTAAATGACCGAATTCGATTGTATTCAATTCAAGATTAGTTATTGAGTCGATAAACTTATTGATCATCATTATGTTGCTCAACATTTTCTTAAGTTTCTTCACACTCGCTGACTTTGTTTCGTTCTTCTCACCATGCTGATTTGTTTCATTTGTTGAGCACACAATCAAAGACTTGACATAATTAACAAGCGTCGATATTATCATCGATTTAAGTTGAACTGATTGTGATGTTGATGAAGCGATTTGTGCAATTCCAATAATTAAAAGTTCATTCCAAGTGTTTTTAAGCATTTCGATTTGTTCGTCTGACTTAAACAATTTCCACACTTGAATGTCACGAAGCCAGTCAATGGATTTAAACAAGATTCGACTTCCAATCTCACACACAAAATGCATTTTTGGCAAAAGATTTGGAACTTGAATTTTAAATTGTGACAAATTTTCATCGATAAGATTGGAAAAGAATTGTTGTGATGAATTCTCATCGACATTTTCGTTTATTGGTTGTTGTTGCTGTTCATGAAGCGACGATTCAATGATGCTAATCATGTTGAAACTATCTTTAAGAAGTTTCTGTTCCTCGACAGATTCCAATAACTCAAAGCACTCAACATTATTATTGCTGTTGTTATTGTTGTTTGTTTTACTTTCAATCGAATCGTCCGTAAATGTATCTTCGACTTTTATATTTGTTGAGTCTGTGAGTTGTTTTGCTGTTGATTGAGGAACACCAGAAGAGAAAGCTTGTGCTGGATTGACTGCATGAATTAATAAAGGATTCAATTGAAATAAACTTAAATAATTCACAGAATCATTTGACGATTCTTTCTTCATGCGAAGTTTAGCTGAGAGTGTTGAGTTTTGCTCATTTTCTACTGATGCATTTTTGTTCTCTGGTTGTCTTCTATCAACAATTGGCTTTCGTTCGTGCTGCACAGCTAAAAGAACAAAAATTAATAAAACAATTCAGAAATTTTCTAGTAAAGCTTTGTCCCGTCATCGACTCGCTCATTTTCTAAGAAGTTATGAGACATAAATTAATGCGAATCTTTTTATGGGGATGGATTTCTTCTCACCAGTTTTCAACTTACAATCACTTCTCATTCCACATGCAAGACACTTCTGTAATCGACAATATTGACATCGATTTCGATGATGTTTTGTTACTTCACAATTCATTGATCCTCGACATTGATACTTTAAAATATTTTAATTATAATCATTTAGTTAAAATCATTTACATTCAACTTACTCCAAGTTGTTTTCTTATCGATCTTTTGAAAAATCCTTTACATCCCTCACAACTAACTGCTCCATAATGTCGTCTAAATTAGAAAAGATTGATCATATAAATATTAATTTAATGATAATTAGTGTAGACTCACCCTGAAGCTCGATCACCACAGACCAAACAAAATTCAATGTTACTTCCACCCATATCAAGTTTCGATTGCGTCATATCCAAAGACTGATCCATCATACAGAAATTTTTTTTTGTTTCTTCTTTACCTAGGTAGCGGAATGAGAAGAATCTTTAATGTAACAGTTATTTATGTTGCATTTTAGTAAAAAATAGCGGAAAAAAAGTTCTCTCTTCAAGCGAGAGTCTGTACTCTGTTGTTTTTGTAGTACAGTTAAAGAAAAGTTTCTTGACCTTTTCGTTATCTTTAAATGGAGCCGACAGGTTGATCTACCTGTTTCATATTTTATTTACTTATTAATATATGTATTTAGTGTATGATGATGTTCAAGTCTTAAGTGGTAGTCTCGTTTAATCACGCACACAGATAAAAGATCAAAGGTCACGAGAATTTAAAGTTCATCTGATTTCATTTTCTTTAAAACACTTTGCCAAATTAAAATATTATTTCTTACTTCAATTTTCTAAATTTTCATTCTTTAAATAACAGTTCGGGAATTGATTTGAATTTCCTTAATTTACTTATAATTTTCTTTTTAATTTGCTTTCGCGATACTGCTTAGAAAATTCAGTACTTTTCTTTTCCACCTTTTTAAACTATTTTGCTTCAGTTTTTTAAAGTAAATTGCACCATTTTTCTAATTTATTTAGGCACATCTTCATAAATTTGTACAAGGAAACTCTCAATTTATTTCGTGTGTTTAGAAACGAATTTTCCGTTCAATTATTAAGGAATGCGTTTAAAGTTCAAATTTGTTGAAGCCGTTAGAAACCTTTGAAATGTTAGAAAGATTTTCATAACCATAAACTTGATTGAAGCGAAAACAGTGATTCCCGTATCAAATTCCAAATTAATTTGTTGAATTTCAATTTATAAATAGAAATTTATTATCATCAGTCGGTTGACACTTCATCTTCTTTGAGAATATAAGTTTCAACAGGCGTGCTTCAAATCTATTGTCTGAAATTTTTTAAATACAACCTTGAAAAAGTAAGAACATGGACAGTTTAAGTTCAATATCAAAGTCAACAGTAGCAATGGGGGTATCTGGAGCATTACTTATTGGTTACTGTATTTACTTTGATCACAAACGACGAAGTGCAAAAGATTTCAAGAAGAAACTTCATGAAAAGCGACAGGAACGTGAAAATCGTAAAAATAAAAGAGGAAAAGGATCAAAACTTCCAGGTAGTAATAAATTTCACGTTATTGAATTTTTTTCTTATTATCAATAATTTTTTAGATCTAACTGATCACGAAGCAGTTCAACGCTATTTCTTACAAGAAATACAAATGGGTGAAGCTCTCATCGCACAAGGCGATGTTGTTACTGGAGTTGAGCATTTAGCAAATGCTGTAATAGTTTGTGGACAGCCTACACAACTGATTCAAGTTCTCCAGCAAACACTTCCATCTGAAGTATTTGCTCTTCTTATTCATAAAATAAAAGATTCACAAACTGAACTAATTCAATCTGCACCTGGACAACGTCTTGCCGAAAGTTCCAATGATGACTTAGAGTGAAGAAAGAGTATTTTCTGTTCAATGAGTTAATTTTGCAGGATAAAATTTATTATTATGATAGGCTTTCTGAATAAATATCTAAATGTAGTCAAAATAAATATATTTAATATTTTTCATTAATAAGGATAAATCTTATAAAATCCACAAATCTTTTTCATGCTTCATTTCAAATTTCTACTTAATATCTTTTTATTTGTATTAATCCATCATATGTACATAAAATCAAATTTCAAGTGAAATCTAATTAGATTGAAAATGCTTAAGCTGACAACTTGCTATTATGTAGACATAACTATTATTAAATATAGAAGGAATAAAAAATTAACGGTTAATTTGAAAAAGAGTTTGCTTACCCTGTAAATCTTTTAAGCCTCCACAGTTTTCGACCAAATCTGACGTTTATCTTTCTTTTCACAACCTTCTCTTCCAAGTGACACACGTTTTCTTGGGTAAATATCAAAATTTAATTTGCTTTTCTACCTCTAAATTGTATTTAAACTTTGATTAATATTTTTAAAACCCTTTACAACAATGTTTTACATAAGAAAATTGTAAATTGTTTATAATATCTTATCTTATTTGTTTGTGTTTTCCAGATTAAAGAAAATGGTACAGCGTTTGACTTTACGCCGACGATTGTCGTACAACACCAAATCAAATAAGCGAAGAATGTTAGTATCTAATCTTAATTAAAAGTGAACTTATGTTTTAAAAATAATTTTCATTTTCTTTTAGTGTTCGCACTCCCGGAGGACGTTTGGTTTATTTATATTTGAAGAAGCCACGTTCAGTTCCAGGTAAATTAATCATCATATGAATTGGAAGGAAATTACTATAACTATTTTTTCGTCTTTTAGGATGTGGACAATGCAAAGAGAAACTAAGAGGAGTTACACCATCTCGTCCTAGTGAACGTCCTCGTATGTCTCGTCGTTTAAAGACAGTATCACGCACTTTTGGAGGTGTCTTGTGTCACATATGTTTACGTGAGCGTATTATTCGTGCTTTCCTTATCGACGAACAAAAAGTTGTCAAGGTTCTTAAAGCAGCACAAGCATCAACAGTTAAGGCTCCTCGACCAGCTAAAGTTCAACCGAAACCTGCAGCAAAGCCAGCAGCAGCTGCTCCTCAAAAAGGTGGAAAGGGAGACAAGAAGGCAACCGACAAGAAAGTGGGAGATAAAAAAACTGCTGACAAGAAACCAGCAGCAAAAATGAGTACAGTTAAGAAGGCAAAGAAATAATTGATTTTTTTTTAATTATCTTCATGTACTCGATGAAATAAGATCCAAAAGAATAAAATGAAAAAAATAAAATTCCATAATGAAATGTGTATTTGAGCTTAAACGACTTCAGTTTAGGAATTGAACGATTTTTTCACTTTCAGAAAAGCAGAATCCTGTAATGAGCATCAATGCAAAATTTTTACTTATAATAAAGAGCACCAGATTAGATTAATAATTTTATTTTTATTTCATGTTTCCTTCAAAGCTTAGACAAATATTGTAATAAGTCATGAGAATCACTCCTAAGTAGGGAGCATCTCATGCTTTGACCCAACACCATAAGAGAAAAAAAATTCAAGTTTCATTTTAATTCAGAGCAGTTGAAGTAAGAACAGCGACACCGCGTTCATAGAAACTGTGAGGATCTTGACCTGGCGCTACTGCAAGATCAACTGTGAAGAGTAATTCAGCTCTTGTTGAGTTCAAATAAACTGGCAACGTCAACTTTCCAGCTCGCATTGCTTCGGAAGTGCTACGAGTCCAACGCAACAAAGTTAAAGGAAGATCCATCATTATGGTTGATGTCAACAACAGTTGATTATTTTTACATTGTGCACCTTGTAGTTTCAAGCCAGCAACACCAAAACTGCTGTCTTTGTTTTGACCACCATCAGAACCCGATTCGGTGATTGTCACATCAAGCATCAATTCTTCCAATGGCCAACTGTTGGCTTGAGCAACGCATTGTCTCGTAGCTGTGATGTAAGCTTCGGGATTGAATAAACCACCAAGCCAAACAGGGAAACTTTGCAATTCTTTTGCACCAGCTTGCGATACCAAAGTCGACACTTTTTGCAATTGTTGAATTCGTTGTGAGAAGTCAGTGATCCATTGAATTACCGTACAGCCCTGAGGGACTGTGTAACGTCTCCAACTGTTTGGTAAGATTCCTCGAACTAACTCACTCAACATCTGACGATGATAATTCGTCTGCTTCTTTTCACCCTGACAAATCAACAAAACATCTTGCAGATCACTGACAACAGTTTGCAAAAGTTTCGCTCCTGACGACACTTCACGTTCAAAGTAACGATAAAGCGGATCTTTAATATTCTTGAATGTTCTACGAAGAGTATTCAAAGATTTTGGTAGCAATTCAAGCCATGTCAATGCACTGTTGTGAAGAACTTTCATCCACAATGGTCGTCCATCTTCTTGCTTCAACGATGGCTTATCTGTTAAACTTTCATCTTGTTGTGAATTGTAAGCAAGTTCGTCATCATCTTCCAATTGCTGCATTTTAAGTAGTTTGTTGATCAAATCAGTTCCACGTGTTGTCAACAAAACCTTCTCGGCGTTATTTGGTAATCCAAGCCATGATGGAGTTTGCCGATCTGCTAACGATTCAATCCATTTCAAGAAATGATCACGACGCGTTCCATCTGGCATTGTAATGTGACGTTGTCCGCTTGTTGCATCAACATTGGCAACTAAAGCAAAATCTGCTTCGAAGCTGTGAGCTGTAAAAAGCTTCAATAAGAAAGAAGACAACAAACGTTGATCGAAATCGTTGTCAATCTTTCCACCATAGATTGATTGCGACAAAAGTGTGACGAGAGCGTCCCATGGAACTTTTTCTGGTGGAAGATTTGTTCTTCCCATTGCTGTTGCATCAATCCAAGTATCGAGAGTGTCACAAGCAACTCGCAAATCTGATTCGTTAAATTCATACTTTTTCGCCCAACCAAGTGGTACGTAACGCAATCTCTCTTGAACGATTGCATGGAACCAAGCGAGCAAGAAATAAAGACGAGCTCGTTCACTTGGCGGTTTCATCATTCGTGCAACTGGAACTGTTGAGAATGTTCGCAATAAATTAGCACGAATGCCTGGTGGTGGTTCAAATACAAAAATTCTGCCAGCACGTAGAAGATTGACAGGAACTTTTGGATTAATTTCCATTGTCAAGAACAAACGGAAGTTGGGATGCGATTGAAGTGAATGAAGTTTCTTCTCGAGTTGAACAAGCCATTGTGGTGCAAGATGAACATTCTTTAACATCACCCATCGTCCTGTTTTGCACGCCATGTTAATTGCACGATCTGCTTGATTGAAACCTTCAGCTGATCCAATTGCAATGCTTGATATCTGTTTATTCAATTCTGTTGCTAAATCATCAACGCGGCCACTAGCATCAAATCCAGGAACTGAACAAAGCAATGCTGGAGTACTTGAGTTCAATTGTTGCTCGACACATGAAGCAAAGTCCAATTCGCTATCAGCAAGCGGCATAAATTCATGTCCAAGAACAGTTGACACGAAGACTTGTGCCGCTGCAATGACACGATCTGGTCTGAATGCTTGAATTAATATCAACTGATGAAGTGCGGCTGATATCGGTGACAAAGCTTTGCTTTCATCCCACAATTGTGGAACATTTTGTTCCGGTGATCCTTGTTGAAGCCAAGCAACAAGTTCGGGCATTCCTTTGATTTTCTCAAACAATTTCTTAAAGATTGGCAAACGAGATGACAATCGAGTGATTGATTCAAGTTGTTCACTTGAAACGCCATCGATATGGTGAGACTCAGGTGTTGACACCAGACCTTCTTTGTTACGTAAGAAGAAATTGAATTCTTGATCCATATTAGCTTCTGATGTTCCTTTCAAATGAATGCGACACAAAAGAATTGCAAATGTCAAACGATCAGCGTGGAGCATTCCGCGAGCGACGCGATCATAACAAACAGCGAACAAATCTGATGTGATAATTGCAAGACGTGTTGGGAAATCAGTTTTTCCTTCCAGTCTAACGTTGTTGTAGAGAACTGTCGAGAAAATGTCAAGGAACATCTTTAAGGAATATTGATAAAGGAAGTGAACTTGATTGAGTGAATCCATTGTGAAATAAATGTTGCTGCAAGCTTGAGACAAAGGCAAATATTGTTGGGAAACGGTTTCGATTTCAGCGATGACTTTGTCGGTTTCTTCAACTTTCTGACCAATGTCTGCTGCTTCACGTTTCAAAGTTTCCAGCGTTGTGATAACTGAATCATCGTCGAGAATCTTACCCTTAGCATCATTCAATGCTTGAAGTAAACTTTTTTCAAGTTGACGTAATCTCAAATGGAATTCGCCTTGAAGTTTCAAAAGATCAGAACGCTTCTCATCAATGTCAGGACGTTCGGCTTTCAAAACTTGATTCAAACATTGCGATTGTAATGAACTTCTAGTGACAGTGAAATTGACAAAAGTGACTCTTGAACAAATGTCCGGTGGGAATTCGACAGTTGGGTCACGTGTTGACAAGAAGATCACGAATGATGGCGACAAATCAATATCTTGATCACCTAATGTGATCAAAACTCGACCACCTGTTCGACGAAGTTCGCGATTCAAAACTGGATTAAGAATCGGGTCATAATTCTCAACATCTTGGACCAACAATGGATTTCCGAATCTCAATGCTGACTCCAAATTCTTACGGAAAGAATCGTCCAAGAAACTCGTTTTTGTAATCTTGCGATCTTTGAATTCATTCATTATAAATTCAGTTGCTTGACCAGAAGGATCGATAATCAAAGGATATCGGTTGAATCTCTTCAACATTATTGCATTCTCCGTACAAAGATCGTCACTTGGTAATGCGTTGGCTTGCCAACGAAGGCGTTCATCAGGATTTGATAAATATTCGGTTCTTGCAATGTCAGGTCGGAACTGAATGTTTGCTGATGTCAAATGATGACTCCATGTTGAAAAGAGATTACTTCGATAATGTTGATCGAAGTAGCCGCCTGTGAATAATTTTTAAACGAAAAAAAATGAAATTAAGTTGGTGGTACAAGTCGTTACCGTCAGCACTTACCGTATGCAATGAATGCAGCTGATAACAAAGTATCGCCAACAATTGTTGACATTTGTGATCGGAAAGTTTCACTTGTCGCTTCCCAACGTTCTCTTTCAATCACCAAACTTTTCAATAATGCAATCGAGCGATCAACTTTAGCTTGGACATTCTCAAGATCAGCTTTAATGGCTTGAGCTTGCGAAATGAGTTGCGCATATTCCTCTTTATAAGCGGCAATCGATTGCTCCAAATCGGCGATGAGTTTCTTTACTTCTTGTCCATGAGAAATATTTGTATCTGCTTGCCGTTCAAGCGAGTTCAATTCTTCTCTTAATGGTTCAACACGTTTCAACATATCAGCGTATTCAACCTATGTAGGAAGATTATTATTTATTATATACAAAGATTTTTCTTACAAATTCGAAAACAAATTACTTGTGCAATTGCCCATTTCACCATAGGACCACAAGCCATCGAAGCTCGATTGACTTTCTCGAAGTTGTAGTCAGGATTACTCAGATAGCGTGTTTTCATCTTTTCACGAACATCATCGCTATTTATATGGAACAATAAAAGTTTGTTAGGGTAAATGGCGCATAAAATTAAAAATAAGCTTTGGGGTGATTATCTGTAAATGATGATTGAATATTTTTTAGTATTGTGATCAGTATGGAAAGAATAAATCTCGGGTAGTCAAGTCAAGTCATGCCTGACGTCAAGGTGAGAATCTCTAAATAAATCTCTTCAGACATTTCTCTAAATGTCTTCAGAGATTTCTTCAACTGTTTAGTCATCATTTATAAATAAGCGCCACTTCATTCTTAAATTGCAAATTTTAGTAACACAAAAACACAAAAGCGTGACATTCATTAAATATTAAAGATTTGATAGTAAGTTAAAAAAATTAACATCCAGGCGGCAATGCATGCTTACTTGATGTCTTCCGTGCTAAAGTTAGAAACAATAGAGTTTATGAAATTTTCCCGCATGATGACAGCACGAATTGATTTCCAGTCAGATGCATTTTCACCCAGCAACAAGCAAATTGATTCCAAAGCCAATTTCACGATAGCAGGTGGATTTGCCATTGATCGGACTTCCACAAGATGTTGTTTCTTGATCGACTTTACAGCTGTTTAAAAGTTAATTTTTATTTATGTTGTTTTAAATTAGAAAAGAGAAAGAGAGAAAGAAAGAAATTGTTTAGTAGGTTTTGATTAATTCCTTTGATTGTTTGACTTTTATAAGAGTTTGGGTTAGAAACAAACATTGAAAGCATGAGATTACATTGGTTTGCACAACGAAGTCCTTCATCTGCATTTTCTGATCATTAAAAAATGTTTAAGGAAGCATTCACAGATATTTTCTTTCTTTTTTTGATTAAATAAATTAATTAGTTAAATTGAAATTAATTTTCATGATTAAAGTTGCTCCACTTGCCCTCCCAGGCGATTAAATATAAAAAATGAAATAATTCTTTGAAAAATTACTCGATTTGCTGCGTGTCAAAGTTGACAATACTTGAGATGAACGAATCCTTGACGAGAACCCCGCGAATTTGCTTCCAATCGGCAGCATTTTCTCCAAGCAACAAGCAAATTGACTCGCAAGCTAATTTAACAGGAGCTGGAGGATTTGCCATGGAACGGACTTCAGCTAATTGCTTCTTCTTGATGCCACTTACAGCTGCATCAATTCAATAATTATTTTATTTCATTTAATTTTGGAAAAGTGGGAATTTTGAAATTGTTTCTTGCAGAAAATTCGAAATAAAAAGCAGAAAAAATAAGAAAAATTTACCTTGCTGTGCTTCAATAACTGCTGGTTCAACTTGAGCTAGATCCGCCATGACATCTTTGCGCTTCTCTTCGATTTTAATAGTTTGCTCAGCGAGTTGAGCTTGAATTTGTTGCGATTGAACTTTCTTACTTTCAGCTTCCTGTTGGTCTTTGAACATTTGCTTAAGTTTTGCATTTGCAGCTTCATTTTTCTGCTGAAGTTCTTGACTTTTAACCGCAAGCGATTTCTGCATTTCTTCCACTTGCTCGACAGTTTCAGCAATTTTATTCAATCCGACATTCAAATGAAGTTGTTGTTCCTCAAGGTCGCTTCTCTTCTCACCATACAACTTGACAAAATGATGAATAAAGTCAAGATAATGTCTGGGAGTGATTGCCATTGTACGAGAACCACGTTTTGCTAAACGAGTATTTGCACGATGGAGAGTTTGATGAACATAGACGCAAGCATTAATGACAGCATCACGATGCGATGGATTGGCTGGAATAAGAGCGCATGCTGAAGGGAAGAAGTCAGGTTGATGCCAATTTGACTTCTCCAAATCCATTCGAATTGTGAATTCCTTTCCAACTTGGAACAAAGCTGAATCCGACCAATCACCAAACCAATTCAAAACGCAGCGATTGAAAAGTGCTGGAGATGTAGCGGCACGATCTTTAAGCCCATCAGTTGATGGATTCATTGTGAAGACAACATGAAGATTTCGCATGACTTGTTGAGTGAACCATTTGTAGAGTTCATCATTTGAATCCAACATTAAACCTTCTCGTTGCGCTCCTTCCTTACATTGCGTCATTAAAGTTGTAAACTCGTCGCCCTCAAAAAGTCCAGGAACTTCACCATTAGCCAACAATGTGTTCATTCTTTCCAAGAACCCAGAATCCAAAACATTCGACTCATCAAGGATGAAGCAAATCTTTTCATCTTTACAACCAGATCGTCTCAAAACACTTCGCAAATCTTCATCAAAATCTTCTCCCGTGTATTTATTGTGAACTTTAATTTGGAAGATTGACAATCCATTCATCCATGCAACGAATCTACTGAGCGTTGTTTTTCCAGCACCTGACACACCAATCAGCAACAAATGTCCCTGCGGCTGACGGAAGATTCTGTCAATCCTCAAAACATGTTCAAGAACTTCATCAAATAACACCAAAGGAACGTCAAGTTCTTCTTCATAGAAAACTTTCAAACGCGCTTTGACATAATCACGCAATTCCTGACGATTAACTGGCACATAATCTTTTGACAACCAATTTGAGTAGAGAATTGGACGCTCCAAAGCTTTTTCACGATCAACCGATGGGAAATGTTTCATTGCAACAATGTCAATGTTTTCATTCGTCCATCGACGTTCCGAATCTTCAACTAAACGATCTTGGAATAATCTTAAAGCTTCATGTGCCCATAAGCGAACTAATCCTTCGACTGGAAGATTATCCAAAGGTCGAATTGCTTCACAAATTCCCCGCACCCAACGTGTCATTTCACGAGGTGAATAAACGTAATGCGGTTGCATATCTTGAGTGAAACGATCTTGTGATGAAAGATAAAATTCGACCATGGCATTTGTCAATGGCTCAGCGTAACCGCGCAGGTTTGGCATCATTCTTAACATCGCACGAGAGAATGTTCCATAAATTTGCTTCAATGATGTCTCGCCCGGATAATCAACATAAATGATTGGAACATGTCTCAAGAAACGATGACTTAAAGGCTTACGACCTGGATCAGTTGGTGGATTGCAAGCACCAACAAATTGAATTCTTTCCAACGTCACAAACGCTTGATCTGAAGCACGATGAAAACCTTTTCTCTCAACTATTTGCCGAAGGAATGAAATGACGCGTTGCGTTCCATACGCATCCATGTCTGGTAAATTAATTTCATCGCAGAACAAGACAAGCCATTTGCCAATTTGAATTGGAGCTAACACAACGCCATTTGGTGTCTTTCGATATTCACAGTAGTGATCGAATGTCTTCAGCAGAAGTTCTGGTGTTGTTGCTGATGAGAAATTAAGACCGACGACTTCCATGTCGGGAAGTGCACGCAATGCTGAGAACAATGTCATCGTCTTACCCGATCCTGGAGGGCCACAAAGGACAAGCGGCTTATGTTCAGCCAACCAAGTGTATAAAAGTGACTCGTGACGAACCGTGTCTAACGTTGGAACAACAACATCAGGTGCTGCTACTTTATGAGTTTCTACTTCAATGACGGGAACTTTATTCGACCATGGCGACCATTCACCTTGAATTGTGACTTCATAATCGATGATTGGAGCGCCAGATTGTGATGGCAAAGCAATTGTTGTCACAGATCTTATAAAATCGCCTAAATCGCATCGTGACTTTAACTTCGAATCACCAGCAAACGACCAAAGAACTGAGTACACGAGATGCTTTGAAATGTATTGTTCGAGTTGTTCGGGTGCAATTGGAAAGTCGGGATGTTGTTGATTGAATTGAAGAACATTACGAATGCCTTGATTCAACATTGAGAAGAGCGAACTTAAAGCACGAAGTCGAGTAAAGTCCATGATGTGTTCTTGTGTCAACGCGTATTCTAAACATCGAATGACCAAACCGTCAGCAGCAAAGAAAGGATGCATGAGTGCAGCAATTTCTCGCTGTGTTTGTAATGCTGTTGAGATTTCTTCTTCTTTCCCTTCTTGATTTCCGCTTCCACTCTTTGTTGCTGCTGGTTGAATGAAACTTTCATCTTCACCTTCTTCCAATGGAATGCTTTTGATGCGAGCGAAGTAATTTTCAAACACCATCTCGGTGCTAAGCACATCTTCACTGAACCAAACCATTCCACAACGTGAGACTGTAGCAAGTGTCGCGTATTTTAAGTCTTGAACTTCAAACATTACACGGACATTTGGTGGCAATGAAAGACGTTCACCATTTGGTAATGTCAACAATTTGTTGTCATCAAGCACTGAATTGAGATTCTCAACCCATTCAGGGTCAACGTCACCGTCGAAGATGATCCATTGTCGCTTCGAAATCTCACCACGAACATTGTCGATGATTTTTCTTTAAAAATTTGTTTTCATTTTCAATTTTCTGATAAAATTCAAAGCTTCAACTTACCTTAAAATGTGAGTAAAGAGTCCGTCAGTCCATTCTCTTGTGTTTGGATCTAGAACACCATAAAGCGTTTCCTTTGATATCGCTTTTGGATCAATGACATGTGCGACGCCTTCCTTTCCTTCAAATCTTTCGAGTGCTTTCAATAAAACTCGCCATGCTGTCGTTTTGCCAGATCCTGATGGTCCGACCATCATCAAGCCATGATTAAGACTCGAGATTTGGTAAAGTTGAAGAACCTTTTTTGAATGTTTATAAAGATAATGAAAAATTATTGAAAGATAAAAAAAATTACGACAACATTCTAAGTTTAACAAACTGAAATTAATGGATTGGAAATCAAACGTGACTCACTTTTGACAGCCAAGTTTCACTGAATCGCTGATTAGTATGATTAGTAAGAATGTATTAAAGAGATTTAAGTAAATGTTAGTAGAATTAGAGATGAAAGAAAGAGATGAATAAAAAATTTAAATTTATTTATTTTTACCTTCTCCATCCATGCCGCGCCTTGTTCATCGCCTTCACCTGTCACGAGATATTCTTCAGCGCAAACTTTCTTGATTTCATCTTCCAATCCTTTCATCTCAGCACGAGTGTAGCCAATATTAGGAAAGACGTCATTAACCAATGAGAAGAGAAGTGGAATATCTTCAGCGACTAATTTCGGCACCATCGTCTCGCAAACTGATTGAATTAAGATTTTCTGTTCGAGAAGAGTCTCTTCGGTAGCTGTTTGATTAGGATCTTCCGTGATCTTTGAGATCCTATCACGTTTCACATTACCAGCTGACACGAGAACTGACTTTAAGGCTCGCAAACCGAAGTCATAATGAGATTGATTGCTCAACTGTTCGTCGCATAGTTTGAAGAATGGAACAATTTTACAGGCGAGTTTCTCGGCAGTTCTAAAGCCTTGTGAGAACAACATGACTTCTGCAATGAGTTGGCGATCTGGTGTCGTCATTGCCAATGATCTGAACAGTTTCTTCAAGTTGTCAGGTAAGTTGCTTCTTCCAGCATATCCAGGATTCATCGTAATGAAGATTGCCATGTCTGTTGACACACGAACTTGCTTTCCAACCAATTCGACGGATATCGTTGCTTTCGTGTTGCTATTTGTGTCAGCTTGTGACTTCAATGCTTCTTGAATCGTCTGAATTTGTTGTGAGACGGCTGACAACATTCGTTCTTCCAATCGATTGAATTCATCGAAACATCCCCACGCACCAACTTGACATAAACCAACAAAAATTCTTCCCATTGCTTGGAAATCAAAAGTTTCATCGCAATTGAAGACAAGAACAAATCGACCAAGTTGATTGCCGAGAGCTTTAACAGATTCGGTTTTTCCAGTACCAGCCGGGCCAAATGGTGATCCACCAAGACGTGATTCAAGTGCTTGAGTCATTGTAAGATAACAACGATCAGTCAACGGTGTTTGAACCAAACGATCTTGAACGCCAAGATATTCGAATCCGTAATAAAATCGCGCATTTGCCATGTGAATTGTCAACTGTTCAAGAACTTCTGTTTGTCTTGGATCAAAGTAGAAACGCATTTCTGTTAACCAATGGAAAGATTTTGGATTATTGACGCCATGCTGAAGCAATCGACGTGTCACTGTTCGCTTATGAACAAATTCATTAATCAGATGTTCAAGTTTCTTTCGTCTTAATGGTGGCTGCTCTTGCAAAACAGAATCGGCGAGAACATTTAAAGTAAATTCGACAGAATCTAAGACACGATTTAATGGATTCTTGCCAGTTGATTCTGTTGCTTGTTGCAATGCACTTTCAACATCTTCCGACCACAAAATTTGTGCTGCTAAAACAACAATTTGAGCTTGATATTTGTCACACCATTCCATGTATTTCTGTGGATCAATCGCATCTTTAAATTGTTTGATATCTTGCACAGCTTGTGCTAAAAATGACGCCAATGTAAATCGCATTTCTTTCTCTACAAGTGTCAACCATTCATTAATTTTCGGATGGTCAGTTGTCGACACAGGACGAATAAATTTCACTTCTTCGCCTTCACGTGATGCAATTCCAAGGATGATTGTGTTGTCTTCGTTTAGAAGAATGGAAGCAACGCCAGCAAACATTTTCTTGAAATGTTTCTGCAATCGAGCGACATTTTTACTGTTTCCAATGATCTCAAGAAGATCTTCATCACCAACAAAGTAGAATCGTGGAAATGAAGTTCGTTCTCGTTCCAAATATTCACCAAGTGCTTTCTGAATCTTTCCAAGAAGATCAGCGAGACGTTCAAGTGATCGTTGAACTGCAGGAATATTCAACACATCCATGACCTTTGGCGATTTTGCCACTTTCTTCATCAATCCTAAGAATTCTGAACTGATGCTTTGGAATCGACTTGTTTCGACGGGAAGAAGAGTTTTAATGTCAGCCGATCCACTAAATATTCCTTCAAGATAAACCCAACGACGTTGAACATCAATCCAAACATCAAAAATTGAATTGATTCGATTCAATTTCTCTTCCCATGTGATGGCTTCTTCTTCGAAAACTTTGTAATAAGGCGAAAGCTTCATCGCTGCAACTGAATTGATGTGTTCCTTAACTTTATTGAAAAGATCATCCCAGCCTCGAATAATGCGACATTTGTTCTGATAGTTAATCAAATCAAGTTCATAATTTTGCCACGATTCACGAACTTGCTTAAGAAACTCTTCCAAAGCCATTTCACCTTGCGCGACAAGAATGATGTCTTTAACAATGTTTTCGTTCTTCAACAAGTTCACATCCCACACTTGACCGAGTGTCAAATCAGACAACACCCAATTAACACGTAATTGCTTCGTCAATTGCTTCCAGTGACGTTCCTTTAATGCATCGGACTTCAACTCGACTATCAAGATGTTGACTTTGATGTAGCTTTGCAAAAGTTTCTTCACATATTCGAATGACTCGTACATACGTAAACGAGCTGGAAGTTCCTTCAATTGATTCATCATTGCTTCCAAACTTTGACGAAGCTTTCGTGGTTGCACAGACAGCCAAGGCTTCTCACGTGTCTCATCAATGAGCGTCCAAATTTTAGCCAATTCACTCCAAACACCTCTCAAATCTTGAAGTTCTTCAAGGACGACACTCATTCGTTCAGAGCTGTTATTAGGTATTGCCGATTCCTGCAATTCCAACGCTTCCTTAGCTTTCGCAACGTTGTCGCGTTCATCCTTCAATCGTGAGAATTTCGTCTCAAAGATTTGCAATTGTTGAAGAGCTTCATCAGGTCTTGTACGTCCACCAGTTGGTTTATTCTTCTCCCAATCATTAAGGAAGTCAACAGTTCGTGTTTCAACTGCTTTATCTTCAGCAACAATTTTTGATTGCAAACTTGCAACTTGCGTTTGAATTGTTGAATCTTTACGTTTCATGATTTCATTAAATGCCGACCATTCGCCTTCAATATTGTCGACATGAAGCCAGTTAGTGGGAAATTGGAAGCGTTGACGTTCAAGAATTCGTTGAGCTTCACGATAAACCTCAACTTGTTTATCCCACACCAACATCTCCTTCTTCAACGACTGAACATAAGTGATGAAAGTGACAGCATCTGATGTACTTGCAGCTTCAATCGATTGTTGTTCTAAGTCGGTTCGTGATTTTGAGACTTTCGTATGGAAAGTTCCCATTTCATTGCCCAACAGCTGACCAAACTTGCCGAGTGCTTCTTTGTGCCAAGAATCATATTTTAAGGTGACTTTAGATTGAACTTTAGCATAATCGATGATAATTGGACCATAAGCACGACGTGTGTCACTTGTATCGAATGTTGTGCGAGATTTCTTGATGTCATTCAAACATTTGATCCACAAATTGATGTCTTCACCTAACCGTCCATACAACATGTCAGGCTGCAGATCCCACAAACTCTGATAGCGAAGCCATTCATCAACATATGCACGAACTTCCGTCATCTTGCTATCAATTGCTGCATAACCTGATTCCAAAGGTTCAGAACCCGACGGTAATTTTGTCAGTAAATTGCGATAGGTTTGCGAAACGGGCTTGTCCAATCCAACTTGATAACGAGAACTTTGCAAGCGAGTTTGTGATGTCACAATTGCTTGCCATGCAAACAGTTGTTGCATGATTTGGAAACGCGCTTCTTCGATTGAAGGATACAAATACATTTGTTGATTAGTAATTCTGATCTCATGAATTGCGTGGTGAATTTGTGGTTCACCACCGGCTTTAATTCCAGGCTTTACTGGGGCGTCTGTGTCCATTGACAGATCAACATCTTTCTTGTTACCACTCAATGCATCAGTCCATGCTTGAACGCCTGCTTGAAGACGAGCCGCTAACTTCTTCTCAACTTCTTCATCTAATCGTTGCACCCAAACATGCAAGTTTGAATATTGTTTCAAAGAAAGGTCATCAACTGCGTGTTGAATCTTTGACAAAATATCAGCAAATGTTGCGGCTGAGTAGGGACACGACTCAAGGGATCGAACGTCAACGTCAAGTGTCTCTTCAACCACCAACAAATCTTCAACTTTTTCTTGAAACGCAGTCACCATCTCAGACAAACGTTGAACGTAAGGATCAAGTTTATAACTTTCCCACACTAAAGCAATACCTTCAGATACTAAATTCAAAACATCTTTGCGCAATTGAGCAACAAGTGGAATGATACTTGCGCGATCTTCGATCTGTTAGAAGAAAATATTCAAAGGGAAATTAATGAAGCAATGCTAATAAAGGAATTCAAATTAAAATACAGTTTTTGGTACTTTAAGAGACTTTAAAAAGCTCTAAAATGTCTATCATAATATAGAAAATTATTTTTAACAACTAGCGAAAACTCTTCTATTTTTTAACTACCTGAAATACAGAATTTTGTGCGGTTGTCCTATTGATTAGCTGCATGTAAAAATATAATTTTCTGGAGGTTTAAACTCTTCTTATTAATGAACGTGATTTTTCAAATCATACTAAAAAGCTAATGCGAATATTGACAATTGTAATTTGAGGATATTTTTGTGCACAAAAAATGCTTTTGAATGTTTTTCTTAAATCAAAACAATTTTGCAACTTAAGCGGAAAGTAAATAAAAGTTAAAATTTTCTTACCTTATTTAAAGTTCGCTCATAAGTTCGCACGCTTTCAATGAGTGAAATAGCAAAAGGATAAATTTGATTTGCTTGATGTGCTTTATTGACAATCGCAAGTGGGACACGAAAGCCAAGACTCTTTAAATTGCGAACTTCCTTGTAAAGTGTGATGATTTCTGGAAGAAAATTGACTCTCAACTTCAAAACGTTGCCACGAGAAAGACGAGATCTGTAGAATGATGAAAAGATTTAAAGGATTTTTAAAGCAAACATAATTTGATCTTACCTTGCGCTGTCAATCAAAAAAATCCTTCCAGTGATGCCAAAATTTCTTTCTTGAACTTTTCGTGCCCAATCTTGGAATACTTCAGCTGTTGATAACTTAGCACGGAAACTATCGCCATCAGCTTTCAATTTCTGCCCATCGATGTGAGTTTCCCATCCTTTTCCAAGAACATCTTCAACACGTTTCAAGTACATTGTCAATTGGTTATCAATCTGACGAGCCCAAATGATTGAACCAGCGACTGGCGGTAAATCTCGCACAACAGAAAGTCTGCAGCTTTTACTTTGCGGATATTGAACCTTGAACTTCTCGTGCAAAGCTTCAATGTCGTCCTTAACACGTTGAATCAGTTGAGTTTGATATTCGCGAATAGCTCCACGAATATGCGGTCGAACAAACAAAGCATTGAAACGTGAGAAAATTCGGAACATTTCGTTAGCATTCTTAGCTGTTCCAAGTTGATCACGCAAGTGTGCAGTGATACGAGTTTCGACGCGATCAATTCTTTCTTCATAACGTTTCACAGCTGCGTCATATGCTTCCGACCCTTCTTTAGTGATGTCGAGGCATTCAACTTCCTTCACGTTTTCATAAGCCAAATTGACTTCTTCAATCGCATTTGCATCAGCGGCTTCCAACGAGAATGGTTGTTTAGTCTCAACCGGTATTTCAGTGATTTGAATGGCAGCAGTTTGTCTTGTTGGACGTAAAACACGAACGATGACAGTTCGCAATTGTTCATGATGACGGCGGAATTTTCTCATATGTTCCATACGAAGTTGTAGCTTTCTATGAGCTGGATTAATTCTCCAAATGATCTTAAGATGCTCATCGCGTTTCTTTTTCACAATGTCACGAAGCAGTCCTTGCAATTTGTCATATTCGTCGTCCCAACAACTGAAAATTTCAAAGCATTGATTCATGACGCGTTCAAATTCGTCAAAAGGAATATGCATGAGACGCCTTGTTCCCAAGACTTTCAACAATTGTTGACTCAAATCACGAGAAATGGCTTCGATTAAACGTAAAGCTCGTTGAATTGGATATTTCGTATTTCGAATCTTCCGCAAATGAGAGAAAATTGATTGCACTGCTGATCGAATTCGATCGAGTTCTGTTGCAGATAACAAATCATTGATGGGAAAATCTTTCATCAATGGATTGAAATCAGCGACCATTGCAAGTGCCTGCTTCAATCCAGTATCGGTATCGAATGAAACAGTTGCGTGAAATCGTTTTCCATGCTTTAAAATTTCCAATGTCAGTGCAACTTCTTGTGATTCACGTTTTTCTTGAATTCGATGTAACGAACGTTCAAGATTAAGCCAGAAGGAAACTTCTTGCAAAGCCGTTCCTGATGATGGGTCACGTTCGAGTTTAGTCACTTTTTGAATTTCCTTCGTCCAACGACTAACAATTCCTTGCAATTGATTTAAAAACGTCGAATCTTCCACTTTATCACCGAAGTCTCCAACTTTTGCTTTGCGTCCTTCATCAGCACAACGCTTAATGGTAGATTGCACTTGTTGATGAATGACGAGGGATATTTCTGGAATATCGATGTTTTGTTGAAGATGGAGCAATCCCATCTCGAGTTCAGCCAGTTTCTTCTCAACAGTTGGTGCCATTTTATCGCCATCACGATCAGCTCTACCGGATTCTTTCACAAAGCTCTTGAAGTAAGGAGCGAGTGTTTTACTGATGAAAGAATGAAGAGTCTCGTATGGCGATCCTTCAGAGAAATTTATCAAACGAAGTTGAGAGTGGATTGACTTGTCAGCTTCCACTACAGCTCCACGCTTGACACAAACAAGTGAGGAAAAACGAGAATTAGTGAAATGAACTTCATTACTGATGTAATATTGTCCAGTGTCCTTTTCTTCTTCACCCTCCTGAGAAGAATCATTTTCGTCTTCTGCGAAAAGGAGAACATAAAGATTAGTTAAATATTTCCGATGAGATTTTTGTTAGAATCTTATAAGAAAATAATCTTAAACATATTAAAGATTCATAAGTTTATTCAATTAAAAAGATTTTAAGCGATATTCATTGATTTTTCACAAGTCTGATGACTCATCAAAATCTCCATCTTGTTTTAAGGTGTCTGTTAATGCATTTCATATTTTCATTACTCACCTTTAGCTGCAGACTTTTGAATGTAAAGAGTCTGAATTTGAGGGTCGGAAAGAAACTTCTTAATACATTCTTGATTGGATTTGTTCTCATCTAAGGCTTCCTCAAGCCTCGATGAATTGAGTTCTTCATCATCGAACAAAACCAAAATTGCTTTTCGCAAATAATTACAAAAAGCTTTATGATCAACGATTGAGACAATTTGCTGTTGAGGGTCTATCGATTGATCGATGGTTTCTAATGAATCTCCCATCTTACTTAGGAGATTTTACGGTTTTATTTTGCGAGAAAACTTAGGTATTTAAAACTTTCCGTGCTTTTGGTAGGTAGATGAATTCTAACTGTAGCGAGGGGACCGTGAAGCTAAAATAATTAAAATTTGACCTTATTCATGAAGTACGAAAGTTTCATTCATTTTTAACACATAGACTTGAAGATATCTCAATTTTTTCATGTTTGAAGTTACTGAAAGAAAGAAAAATATCAAGAATTGATACTCGTTTTAAAGATTACTAATTTTTCGAAAACATCTTTTTCATGTTCAACGAGCCCTTCATTAAATGAAATTTGTTCGAAAATAGCTTCAAATTTTAGAATAAAATTCGTTAAAAATCGGCAAATTTTTATTACAAATAAAAAGGCTTAAACTGGAATGTCTTGATAAATCCATTTGAAAGAAAATATTTAAACTTCTATAAAAAGTGTTAATAACATATTTTTTTGAGATGACAATTCCCTGTTTTAGATAAAATTAAACATAAACTCTTTCAGATTAATATTCAAAATTTTCAAACGGTTCTTTTTTTAAATCGATATTGCGGAAATTTCCCACCCCTTGCATTTAATTCGAAGTGTACGAACTCGTGGACATTTGTTTACAATTCAAAATTTTTCTTTGCTGAAAAAAAAATCTTTTTAAAATGCCTTCTACAATAGAAAATCGAATAGCTAACGTTGGTAAAATCCTCAATGATAACAAGAGACCAATGAAGGAAAGATTTCGAGCATTATTTACACTCAAAAACATCAAAGGTGAACTTGCGCTAAAGTATATTGAAGAAGCATTTTCTGATGATTCCGACCTCTTAAAACATGAATTGGCATATTGCTTGGGACAAATGCAAGATGTAATATATTATAAAATATAATTAAGTAAGTAATATTCATTCTTTTTAACTTTTATCTTATATAGAGAGCTGCAATACCAATTCTTATAAAGATTCTTGAAGATGTAGAACAAGTTCCTATGGTACGACACGAAGCAGGTGAATATAAATCAGAATAACTAAAATTTGTAGAAAAAATTTAACAATTGGTTTCCAATGACAACTTTTTCAGGAGAAGCACTTGGTGCCATTGGACATCCAGAAGTTATTGATATTCTTGAGAAGTATTCAAGTGATCCTGTAATTGAAGTCGCTGAAACATGTCAAATTGCTTTGGACAGAGTGAAATGGTTGCAAAAGCAAGAAGCTCTTAACGATAATAATCCATATGCATCCGTTGATCCATCTCCCCCTCTTGGAATTCAAAAAAGTGTTGAAGATTTGAGAAACATATTAATGAATGAGGAAGAAAATCTTTTCGATCGTTACCGAGCTATGTTCAGTTTGAGAAATATGAGAACAAAAGAAAGTATTTTAGCGGTTTCAAAAGGCTTGAAGGGAAAAAGTGCGCTTTTTCGACATGAGATTGCATTTGTTTTGGGACAACTTCAGAGTGAACATTCAATTCCCTATTTGGTAGAAAACCTTCGTGATCCATTGGAAAATGAAATGGTTCGTCATGAATGTGCTGAAGCATTGGGATCAATAGGCACAGATGAATGTGTTAAAATTCTAAATGAATATCTTTCTGACGAAAAACGAGTGGTGAAAGAAAGTTGTGAAGTTGCTTTGGATATTTGCGATTATGAAAAGTCTGGAGACTTTGATTTCTAAAACTTTCATGGTTTAATGTTTATCTTAACATTTTTAATAAAATCTAACGGAAAATAAAATTTCAAAAGCCAGTTTTTATTCATGTAAAAAAATCTTTGAAAACTTTACTTCATAAAATTAGAAAGAAAAAAATAAAGGTAAACACTCACGAAAAAAATAAATTTTGCAGTGCAACACATAAATTAAATATATAAAAGTGTTTGTGAGAGTTCCTTACAGTCTTGTATGCTATAATTATTTGTAATCTCAGTGAAAATGGTTTTGACGAGTCATATAAGAAATGCAGTTAAAAGAATTCCTATGATTAAATTTAGAAGTGGAGGTAAAAATCAGTCAACCGAAGCCGCACCAGCCACAACAGTTCCTTCTGCAGCAGTAACATCAGTAAGTTACATGATATTACGATATATTGGTTGAATAAGAATGAATTCATTTTTCCGGGAATCGCAATAAATAAAACTTTACATAATATTCAGTGGTGTAGTGAGGTGCTGCATTAAAAAAAATCATGTGATTCATTAACAAGTTCTTCATACTACATGCTAAATGAAATCTGATTATTATATCCTCAGGCTTTAATATAAGCAATTTAATAAGAAGTTTGAAAATACATTTTAATTTGCCGTTCAGATTTATTCCATCAAAACTTCTTTTTACTGACATCTGAATTTAAATTTTTTAATGTCGTTAGATATTTCTGTGATATCAAGAATTTATTTTATCTAACTAAAACTAATTGAAATTATCTAGGCAAAACATGCTACAAGTGGACCAGCGATTGAAGACTGGCAACTTCCAAACCGATATCGTCGGCGTCCGATTGATGAGCAGGAAATCGATGCCATTAACTCGGGTGGTGCTTATTGAACAATCCCAACATTTATAGAATCTTAATGTTAATCATTTAAAGAGAAATCGATAAATAAACTGCTTTCAAGAAATCATGTACATTATATTTCATACCTTATTAAGTTTTTGATTCTAAATATCAAAGTTCCCAAAAACGAAGAGTCTTTGATTAAGTTCTTATCACTAAAGAGTCAAAAATAAATAAATTACATAATTCAAAAAAAAAAGACTCTTATCATTTTTGTTATCACTTATTATTAACATATGGAAGGTAGTCTGATGAATTATTATGGTGCTCATTTCAAGGTTGCACTTTCACATGACACGAAGCAATTGCCACGTTAATCAGAATTCATATATTTTTATAATTTTTTATTTAACCATTTTTCAGGCTCGAGTTCATGGAAATATTTTATACTGTCTAATATTTTATGTTAACAAACCTACGTACACCAATTTACTTTTATGCCCTATGTGCTAGGCCAGCTGAAATTATAATACAACATCTCATATGTTACGTCTAGAACCGCATGCCGGAACTTAATTACAATTTATTGTCTAAAATACGTTCATAAAACTTCTTGCCTATTCCAAAATATGATTGGCAACATAAAGTGCTTATGATTAAAGATTCAGCAACTGTCTGTTTTTCTGAGAAAAAAATGTACATAAAAGAAATTATTTAAGTTCATTATCTATCTCAATCGAAGCTGTTTCGGTTTCAGTTAAAATAAAATGAAAGAAATGTGTTGGTTGGTGAAAGCCGGATAGGCTGAACTAGTTCCGGTTGTGTCGTTTTTTTTTTTTCATTAAAAATCACCGGTTTAATATTTGCTGTGCCATTTCGTGTTTACGTGTATTTCTTCCTCTTTTTGCAAATTTGGAGAAATTACGATTTCAGAAAATTAAGCTTTTAAATAAATTGAATGCTCACCTTACGTTTGTTGCTTACTACTTATTTCCATTACTATTTGATTGACAGTAAATAGAATCCAATTCTCACACAGAATATGTTTGCATTTTATTTTATGAGAGAGTTTAGGATACATTTTGGATGACATAATATGTTTGAAGGAAATTTAATGAGTTTTATTAAAAAGAAAAAGTCTAATATGTATGTTACATAAATATTTATGTTCATAAATAGCGGAGAGATGACAACGGATTCATTACTTTCTTTCTTTGAGATAACTGCACATTAGTGTTGAATTTAATTTGCTAATGAGAAAGTAATTGAAATGATGAAAATTTTACTTACATTGTTAACAAAATTATGACAAACAGCGGGTAAAGATTAATGTCTTTATCTTGCAACCTGATTGTTCTACAAGAAAAAATTGATTGATGATGTCTTGATGTTCTCACTTTATGGCAAATAATGTAAAAACCAAATCTTTACAAAAGACCTTCTGCATGAAGTGAACGGAAGAATGATTCAAAAAGTAAAGAGAAATATCCAGTAAATACGATAATTTATTAAAAATTTCATTTATCATATATTTATACATGTTAATGGAATGTCTTTTTGACATGATGATAATTCGAAAAAAAATATGAAACCAAAATCATGTTTTTGGAATATTTTTTTATTAATAATCTCAAATTGAATTTATAGGACAAACTTTTTTTTTCAAATATACATAGACCTATAATAATATCATGATAAAGATAATGTACCAATAGTCTGTTGTTAAACATAATTTCTAACAAAATTTTGCACAAAATTGTTGTATTTTCACTGAATTATTCCACTAAGTCTTGTCTTGTTGCCTCATAAATTCATTGTTGGTAAATTCAAATAGTCAAAACGGACGAAAAGTCCCACCGACCTCTTTAATATTTAACGGCCGATAGAGACCTCGTCCGTTCATACCATCCTCCAGATAACATTTTTCATTGTCAATATATAATTTTGCACAAAAACCTGCAGGTGATAACACGGCTAACAAATGATTTCATTTGTTCATTTATAAATGTATGCAATGAAATCCCGAATCTATTTTAAGAAACATTCATCACACTAACGTTCGTTTCGTTTTTAATAAATAAGTATTCAATTGTACTCGATTAATTCCTCTATATATGGCGGCGACTGTGTGCGTTTAAATTTCTCGCTTGAATGAAACCAAAGAGCGAAAGATAGCGATTGATCAGGGAAAATCCAATACACAACTATCGAAGAATGATTACTGTATGCGCATCGATGAAAGGTGTATTGCGTAACAAAGCAATTTTGTTGGCAATCTGAAATTAATAAGAAGCAAAAGAAATAGAAATTATATTAATGAAATTATTTTTAGACTTTTATCAGAATGAAATAAGAAAGAAGCTCGAACACGTGAAAGAGTATCAGTCAATGATGGTCTTTAATAAGGCAGTCGAAGCTAGTTTTCGCTATTTAATGTAGCTTTAGGGAATTATAAAAAAAGCGCCTTATTCTACCTGTTTCACCACAAGGGAAATTTTTGTAAATGGCCATAGTGGAAACTAACAAGACAAACATTTTATAAAATTATTAACTCAACCAGAATTTTTCCGAAATGTTTTCACTTTTATGTAATTTTGCTTAACAATTGTATTCAATCAACAATCTAGCCGCTGAATTCATCTTCAAATCGATCAACTGAAATCTGAGCTAACATTAATGGCAAATCAAATTAATCGTTGAAAACTTAGTTGAATAATATCAAATCAGTTATCTCATCATGAAAACATTTCCTCCTACAGAGTGTAGAATTTAACACGTACTGATCGAAATATTTGTGAAATGATTATCCAAACCTACATATTTCACTATAATTTTTCAAGCATTCAGATCAAGCAAACGTCCAACATTGAATTATCTTTTAATCACCAATTATGTTTTAGCAACTTTAAAATTGATACCATTTTTGTATGTTCCGTTTTTGATTATATTTTAAATGCACATCGAATTTGTAGTTTTTGCATGTTAAAGCTGTACTTTCTCACTCATAATTTATTCGTGACAGATACGATAGCTTAACATCGGACATTGGTTCCATATTCACTGTAATGAGTACTGCGCCAAAAGTGAATTCTGCAATGAAAAATGAAATAAAAGTATTAAAAATTAAACGACCTTAGTCAGCATAAAACACAAAGTTGTCGGATGACAATGAAATTAAATTTTATAAATTATCCCTCAAACTGCGGAAGTAAAGTAAAACTTTTTCACACCGGTTATGTTCAGAATTTGTTGCCAACACTTGTAGCGAAAAAGGAGGAGTGAAATTCCAATTTAGTTCTATAGTTACTCCTCATTAGGAAAATTTACATTCGCTAAGTTTATAAATATTTCTACATAATCTGTATGCGTTACTGCAACATGTAAATCAAAAAAGTGGGAGGTGATGTTACAAAATTTTATGATCCAAAAAAGGACTATCAATTTACATTTCATTCTGGCACTTCAGCGAATCAAAAAAAGCTGTTTTTACAAAATTGCGTTCTGCTCCAAAAAGTTAAGAGCTTTTAACAAAACCATTAAATCTTTTTTTTACTTGGAAAGTAATCACCGAAAACGAAGATAATAGCCAACCCCAAAACAACACAAACAACGCCTGCTGCTACATATTAATTAAAATAAATTGAGTACTTTGTTTTTTTTTGGTTCACTTATACTGCACTTGTTTAAACAATTTTTTGCTTTAGTTAAATTTATAGCCTCGATATAAATGAAGGTCAAACACTGAATGGCCTAATTTCTCGTCCGCTACTCAAGGTCGAATATCGCTTAGTGCGTTGAACTACATCATCGAAAATATGTTCAAATGAGTTGTGCAAAGTGGCTATGGTTGTAAAAGAGAAAACTTTTAACCAGCAACGTCTCTCGAAAGAGAGTTGAAAAGAAAGTCACAGAAGTTAATTTTGAGAGCCAGACACTTCATGCAAGGGGAGGACCACCAAAAAATTGTCGCAAGAAGCAAATTCCAAGAAAGCGTAGGCAAATTCTTGGAAAATTAACTAGGAAAAGTGATTTCGTAGGACAATCTGACAAGAAATGGAACAAGGACTTCGTTGGTCCACCCCTTGACCTCATGTTCCATGAAACATAACAGTAATGTCGTGAAGAGAGTAGTCCAAACGAATTGGCATGTAAAGAATGTGAATGAAAAAGAAAAAGAAGCAGCAGTGAAGAGAAGAAACGTAATTCCAGTTCAATAACGGAATCAAATTTATTAACCGAAACAGTTGAGCTCACGTTAAATTCATTTTGACGTGGAACATGAAACTCTTACAAGAAAGTTTATTTTCTTTTCCATGGAATTCCAATTGTGCGAAAAAAGATTGAAATGTGTTGTCGCTTATGTTCAGTGGGGTGGATCATGAAAAATTAGCAACACAATTGTACAATCTTCTGCAGCCTTGAATCGTGACAAAATTTTTAAAATAATATTCGACCATGCTTCGTTCTCTTTCCAACTTAGAATATAAAAAAGAAAGAAAAGTTTGACTTGGTGCCACACTGATTGTGCTTTTATCATAAAGATATCCAGTAAGAGTCTTAGGAAGGTATCGGCTAGGAAGAAGGAGAAAGAAGATTACAATCACACATTTGAATATAAATTTGGGAATGTTAGTTCTGCTCTGTCAACAAAATATTAATATAAATCTGTTTGCTTATGCGAAATACAATTTGTGATTAAAAATTTTAAGGAAATCTCAAATCCTTAGTTCAAACTTAGAACAAACGAATTTTACGAAGAAAAAAATTAAGAAATTGTAGTTTTAAAAACATATTAAAATATGAAAAAGATACTAAAAAATGAACAGTAAAGAAAAAAAGATTAAGTTTGAAAACAAAATTTATGAAACTTTGTCCTTTTTTCCATCCCATTTGGGAATCGATTGAAATATACACGACAAACGATATCAAGCAGTACACAAAATCCTAATGTGAAAGTCAAAATTCGATAAAAATCATGATTTTATTACAAATTGATGATGATGCGGATGTTATGTTTTGATGTTAAAATTCAAAACTAGTCACCGCATTGGGGTAAAAGAGAAAAACTGATGTTAAAATTGGGTTGGCTAAATGAAATCTCGTTCCTATTTACAAAAAATACGAGGAACTAACAGATATGAGCCAAGAAAAAAGGTCAATAAAGCGCTTCATTAAATTGCCACACAAAACTTACCCCAACACACACTTGGAATAAGCATAACGTGATATATGGATTCTGACTAGAGAATTTTTTTCTCTTTCCACCATATCATTGATGTAGCGTTTTGTATGTATCCCCAGCCCTTTTGGACCGTATCCATAGTAAATATCACATAACTATTGCTGCATGACGGAAACGAGAAAAATAAGTGAATAAAGCTGAATAAAACTTATGGTAACTGCACTAAACTCTGTCAGTAATTCCGTGTTCATAAAGGATATAAAAATATTATGCAGGAAGGCAAAAGCAAATGTTAAAAAAATATAAAAATTTGTAAAGGCCAATTAAGAGTCTGATGACTCTCAAACTTTTGTGAACACCCTTCGAACAATATTTATATTGTTATGTTATTATGTTATTCATGAGTATTTTGGGAAGCTAATAGGCTTTTACAGGATCTTATGGGAGTATTTGGGTGTTGAAACGCATTGATTTATTGTATCATATGACCTTTTATTTTTCGTATACTGACAAACTTTTCCTAGTCACATTAATGTGACAAATATGTATTTTAACTTAAAAGCAACATTATGTTGGTTTACCGTAAATAAAACTTACTTTATTATAAATAATCTTTATCACAAATTTTCACTTGTAACATAAATCAGTTAATGATTGGGAGAGATGTAGACAATGATAAATGGAAAAGGGATTTCAAGCATCAATTCAACAATCTCTTCTGTTTGAATTCTCCAAAACTTTTTCTTTCTATTAAATATCACAAACATCATCAGCATTAACATGCTCTCAATGTTTGAAAATTAAATTGCTGAAAGATTGTTGTCAACAATATTAACTAATAAATTTCTATTAAATATCAAATATTATACTTTAAATATTGGAATTGAGAAATAATTTACTGCGTCATTTTTGCTTTATGCTTCCAATGGTAAATTACATTCTTCATAAAATAGAGTTTAGTTTCAAAGTGTTGATGAGGGTTTCTTTACCATTGATATTCAATGTAAATGAAGCTTGGAAAATCGCTTTCATGTCAATTGAAAACCACTTCGGTGAGACATCACATGTAAAGAACGATGAGGAAAGAGAGAGAGAGAGACATAGACAAAGAACGAGTAAAATGTTTAGATGGGAAAATGCTAAATCACATTTAGGTTCAAAATTTTCCCCATTTTTTCATATTACCGTTCAAAGAAGTGGAAAGTTTATGCAAGGACTAAAAGTCTCTAATTTCAGAATGAGTCACGCTTGATGATTTTTGTAGATCGAGAGTTACCATAAGGGAAGAGATGAAACTTTTTATGCTCTCTGAATAATATCTTTTAAGTCACAAATCGAGCACGTTTTTAAGCTCGCATCATTGTCTTGCTCCCAAAACTCAAGTGTCTTGAACGATATTTCAGTGTCGTGTCACTTCATGTGCCTTCATTGTTATTCAACGAGTCAAATTATTGCGCCATTTATGCGAGTTTTGTTCTGGTTTTTTCGCAACTCCGCAAAATGTGCAGAATTTGTTTTTATATTATTTTTATAAATTTATTTTTTTGCCCGAACGGAAGGTCATCGCAGTAGAAGCATGCTTTTCCTATTTTGTGTTTGTTTTACCACTGTTGGCAACCAAAGTAGAATAAATATGTGTCTATAAGAAAAAAGTAGATTTTGATTTCGACGAAAAATAAAATTCGCGTTTTAGAAACCCTTACAAGGCTTTCAAATATTTTAACAGAAATTCTGTGCGGTTTAATCGTATATCAAACATACGTGAATATTTTCTCTTTTAATGGGTGATGTCAGAAAACTTCTGATTTCAGGACATCACGTTGCTACCACACACGATTAGAATTAATTAATTAGCTACAACTGCAGTTCTAACTACACATAATAAAAGAAAGTTCAAAGACAAAAAGGCTGCAATGGAAGTTTCAAATCTATTTCAACTCTTTTTAATTTCTAAAGGCTTTAAGTAATCGTTAGATTTAAAACGTATAATATTAAATAAATAACTAGATACACATCATGTGTATTAATGTTGGCTGTGATTGTTTTTAATTTCTGCAATTGGAATTCTGCCATATTTTTCTCTTTAGTTCTTTGACTACATGTAAAATATTTCATTTAGATTGCTAAGTATTTTAATAGAGAAAGTCGAAGAAAGAAAAGATATTCTAAATTTCATTGTATAATAAGTTTAAGTATAATAAAACTTATTCTACACTATCCTACAATTGCATGTTCGACTGTATTTCAGACTCGACCAAAATAAGCCTGCCTGCTACTTTATATTACTTCGTTGTTATTCCTGTATATTTTATGCGTATTTATTTAAATTTATGGATTTTGTGCCTGACAAAATATATTAACACACACACAAGTAAACGAAAGCTTCCATTAATCCTTTGATGGCTCGTTTTGAAAACGTCTGGTAAGCTTACACATCCATTATTGAAGGTTGATATACGAGACTTGTGGAGGTAAAACTCAGAAAAACATTAATTTCACCTCCATCTTTACGTACACATGCTTATTGTTCGCGTCTTACTTGAAACAGGCTGATCAATAATTTCCGTTTTATTCATCAATTATTCAAAGCTTTAGTTGGCCACTTTACACTTGCGATTTCTGAAGCTTTACAAATTTCATCATCTCTGCTAATATTTTTTTTTGAGTTCTTATTTCAAATTTATATTTTTGATAAAAATAAAAACGATCTGCTTAAAACAAACTAAATATTTTATAAACATAGAAATTAAAAAAGGTGAGAATCCAACTGTGCTGAATTGAATTAATGTAAATAGTGAGAAAGCAAAGTGACACGCAAAATGATGATGAAGGGTGGTATCGCTAAGCAAGTGGTTAAGTTGAACAAATTGCTTAATGCTATTCTACTTACAGTCTTTGGGTGATGTAATCGTAACCCAGCGGGACGTAACTTTCAAAGCACTCTTTTGTTTGTTCATTTTTCCATTCCGATTTCATTATTTTCCATTTATTCTCAGTTTGTATCGTTTCGGGTGTTTTCAAAGAAAAAGTTTACAGAGACAACGTCTTGCTGATAAACGTTCCGTCGCACTCTTTTGTCTCCCTTTTTTATGTATAAGAAGAGTAAAAAAAGTTTCAGAAAGACTCTTTGGCGTGTGATATCAGAGATTAATGGTAAGGAAGGAAAGCAAAGAAAGAAAATTTATGAAAAATCTTAAAACCTCTTTTGTCTTTCCTTCTTCCTTGAGATATTTTTTAGTTTCGTATGTTTTTTTTCTTTTTTATTTGTTCAAAGATGACATCAGTCGAGATTTGATGATGTTTGTTCTTTTCTTTTAACATTTTTAACACTTTATCCGACTTCAAACGTCGTTAGAATATCACACGGAAAAGTCAAAGAAGATCGGAAAACTTTTTCTGACAAGAAAGTTGGAAAATAATTTTATGCTTTGTGATAAGAAGGAAAAGTAAAATTTTTACATGAGCTTTTCTTTCTCTATAAGAATATAGCAGGCAACTGGGACAATCGAGTTTCATTTACTTCATGATAATTAGGCAGTCACAAGTGACTATCTAGAAACAATTTTAAATGAGCACACAAATTCATTCATAAATATTTCCTGATGTCATTCAAAGCATTTAAAAATCGATTTTCTCTGTAACGTTATAATTTTTGGAACTTTTATAAAAATCTCTATAATACGCTGCGTATCTATTTGGAACATAAAATATCCATCAATTTATTCCCTGAGCGCAAATAAATTGAATGAAAATTACTTTTTCTTCTTCGATGTTTTTCTTCTGTTTGGCTTTCAAACATTTCTATGAACTTCTAAAAGACATGGAATAAGATAAATCTCAGAGCCACAAAGTATGAATGAAGAATTATCAGTAACCGTGACCGTAAATGAAAGCTTGATAAATAAAAGAAAAAGCTCAACAAAAAAAGCTATTGAAGAATGTTGAGAGAGCTGATGAAGACAGAAAACAAATTCCATTGGATTATGTAATGTGCTTAAAAAAATTATAATAATTTCGTATTCATACATGAAGCAAGATTTTTTTTCTGACTGTTCGCTTTCTGTTGCGGGGTATTGAGACGATGTGTCGGAGAAGATTTCAAGTGTGAGTGAAAAAAACAACAAAAATTGTGTGCGCCTTTTTACCATCCCACTCAATAAACTGGAGATGAAGAGAAAAAAATGCAAAACAACACATTTAAATGGGCATAATGATGGTGTCGAAAAACGAACCGAAAAATTCTGCGGCTTAAATTCTAAAACGAGTGCTTTCGTTTGTAATGGTGACACGATGATTTCATTCAGAAATTAATATCTCACATGAATGTGTTTGCTGCTGTTTTCGCATCACCATATTTGCACAGAATGTAATTTCATTCAGTCGCTGCGTGGCGGATCCTTCAAAATCATGTTGCGAAAGCGCCTCATGAAAAATGAAAGTTGACACGACTAAGAGCAGTGGGAAGACTGAAAATAAATTTCACCATCAACCTAAAAGTCATCATTCACATCCGCATGTTGACATCGACAGTCATAAACAAAATTTAATTAAATTGACTCCTCGCATAGCGCCGAAATTCTCAAGGAATCGACGCTAGATTGTTCGATTTTGATGATAAAAAGCCAATTTTTGATGTTCCGTAACGGAGATGAAATCTTTTTACTTTTCCTGATTATCTTTAATCTCACAACATAAACGGAAATATTTATCAGAAGATTACAGAACAAAATTTCAGAGATCATTCGATAAGAAAAAGAGGTCAGTAAGCAAAAGTTTGCTGATACAATGTTACATGTCAATATGGCAAAAAAACATTACGTACAATAAATCTACATCCATTATTTCTTTCTTCGTTCTCGATTCAAATGTAAATCCCATAAACATTCATCACCTTTAAATGTTAGAGCAAATATTTTATTTGACTTCGTTATCTATCGTTTATATTTTTATTACTCATTTTATTGATTCACACATAAGTGTATAAGTACATATAACCGAAGTAGTTAATGGAGACGCTTCTAATCATTCAAATTTAAATTTTATTAAGAGATGAAAATGCATTTTTTTTCCAACGACCTGTCACCTTCGAAATGTGTTTCAAAAACAACCAAAGGAAAAAATTTATTTATTAAATTTCGACCTCATTTCTTTGGAGCACGGTATGGAATATTGTCGATTACCCGAAGTCGTCTTGAATTATCAGCATTCAGCAAAATTTCAAGTTCAAGTTAATGTTAGATTAAGAGTGACTCGTGACTCGCTGATAAATTTGCTAACAGCATCGTAATCTTTCTCTACAAGCTCTTATTTTCTGACTAAATGTAGCGCAAATGACATGTTTATTCTTTTCAATGTATGCTGAAATTATGTTAGAATTTACTCGAAGAGCTTTCATGAAATATCACGACAATGTGTGCTAATCTAACGCAAAAATGAAATTTATCAAAATTTTTCGCAGTTCGTGCACTGTTCCATGAAATTTTTCGGTAAATTACCAAAATTTCACAGTAAAACAATATTTTAATCGCTTTCTAATTATATTTATGACTTTTAACATTTATTACACGAAGTTAAAGTAAAATAGAGAAATATGCAGAAAGCAAATATCTTCATGACAGCTTATTCGTCCTTGTTTGCTTTCTTCAAATCAGAATTTAATCTTGTCATGAATACAGAAATCTTGTTGAAATGTGTTGCCGCACAATTTTTATCCGAGCGAATCTTGACAACAAGCGGAGACATCAGCGGCCATGAACCATAAACATTACGAAATGAAAAGTAATTAATTACCAAAATTTGTTTCTTTTCTGCCATATGTTACGTTTCTTATCAGCTCACTGAAACTTTTAAACTGTTCTCTCTCGTTTACATCAACGCCAACAAATGTATTTTTTCGTCAAAAATACAATGAAGTTGGCATGTTTTGTACATTAATGACAATCTATAAAAAATCATCCACCCACTAAAAAGGTACCGTCAACCCCGCAAAATACTGTAAATTAACTTCATGAACAAATTGGGACGAGAACTCAACTGTTTCAGCTTAATCACTGTATAAATATCTTCAATAGAGTTAACTTAATTCTCTATCACAGTCTTTGTTTCTAAATATTTCTTATTTCAAATAATTTAAAGAGCTACGATTTAAGAAAAATCTTATAAAGTTCTTGAATAAGCATGTGACAAACACCGAAAGGCAATCGACACACACATTCTTAGCTGAGTATTTTTTAAGTTTTTCTCGTTTGGGTTGGGCAGCACGACAAGACGAAACTTCAATTTTCGGTAGAGGGGGTGGTGAAGGCTTTTTCAAGCTTTGTCGTCCCAAAGTTTTATTATCATCTTTCCGACACTTCGGCATCAATGAGAAATTAGACAATTTATCTCTGTATGCAACTACGCACGACCCTCGATTGTCCCAAACCGATTACCAAATGATAATCTCCACCTCATAAATTATTTAATTCAAGTTTTTTCTTCTGTTTTTGTCTCAATTTTTTTTCTTGTGTAGACGATGACGACAGTTGAAAAATTACATCGAAACACATACGAATGAAGAAAAGACGAAAAGAAAAAACTTTCGCTTTTCAGCTTTTATTTTTTATGCTGTCTCTGAATTTCTATCTTCTAGTTCCGCTTCCGATTTTCTGTTGTTTTCGAGTGGAGCTTCTTAGTAATAAAAATTTGTAAAGAATATAATAAAGTTTATGAGAAAAAGGAACATGAATGGTTTTTTATTATGAAATATTTTGACATGTATTTGCTATGTGATGAACCAAAAAAAGACTTCAGAGAAGTTGGCAGAGTGTAAATTGATTGTACAAATAGTTGTTATGCAAAGTGCTTTATCTGACTTTAGAAGTGTTGTGAATAAAGCTTAAATATTACACATACTGATTCATCCTAACTCGATAGTTTCACTTCTGAAGAACGTAGTTAGAGTTTTCATTTTATTCAAATCATTTTCACGTTTTTAATCAATTGAAATTGAATAGCAGAATTAACTTAATTCCTTTGAGGTTTATAATTTCTTATCAAACCAGTAATTTTCTCCTTTTGATTTGTTAACAAAAGTAATTTAAGAATAATTTTGACTGTTGCCTCGCAGCAAAAATTATCAGCTCTTATTTTATACACTTAAACATACCACTCGACACATAGGAATATTAAGAAAATGAAAAGAAAAAAAAAATCGAATTCACAATCGGCACAGACAAAATTCGCGATCCATCATCGGAAAATTTCAAAATTCAACTAAAAACTACTTAAGCGAAATACCGACTGACTTGCTTCTTAACAAAAAAAAAATAGAGTGAAATAATACGAAAAGAAATCCATGAGAGGAGATTGAAAAAATCGAGGGGTAAACCAACAAAATTCTTTTCCACTCATGTCAATGGTGCTTCAAAAAATACTTTTCAGTACTTTTCCGAAAATTTGTTCATTTTCCAAGAATTTGTTTGTTATTCTTCAAATTTGATTATAATACTTCTAATCCTTCATGGCAAAATGGTTCTTTTAGCTACAACATTTTCCGTTGGCTTACCCCTTAAAAAATGTTTATATTTTGATTAAGAGAGTATGAGATTGAGAGAATATTGAAATTGCACAATTCTGAAAGATTTAAAGCTTTAATAAAATTATCTGATTTCATTTTATACCATTTAGCGAATAAAACATTTCACGTAATTCATAGAAATCTTTAATGTTACCTCATAAAACTATTTTTCCTATAAATGATCAGAAAGATTTAAAACCTTAAAATATTCAAAAAGCTCAAATATGAAAGTTCTCTCTAAAGTTCTTTTATTTTCTCATTATTTCTCTCTTGATGCATCATCAAAGCCAAGGGGTAATTCATCGAAAAAACTTGGCCGGCAAAGCACCATTGAGAAATGAAACACTCAAGGGGCTGTTCATCGTAGTGCTTCTTGCGGCTGCCTCCAAGTGATGCTTCGAAAATCACTAGTGCTTTTTAAGAAAAATGGCCATTTTCCAAGAATTTGTTCACTTTTTCATGGAATTTGTCTAGTGCTTCTTTTCAAAATAGTGCTTTTGCCGGCTCATTTTTGACGATGATTTACCCCTTGGAAACACTGCCTAAACAAAGTCAAAAAAGTTAAGCCAATTCTTAGAAAATGACAAATTTCATGCAAAGCCACTACCTTGTGCTTTCCAAAGCATTATTTATAAACAGCCGGCAAAAGCACTACGATGAATTTCCCCTTTATCAAAGCCAAGATCAAAGCCAAACAAAATAAAAACACGAGCAAATGTAAATATCTAACTTTATATATCAAGGGGACATTCATCATCAAAGATAAGTCCATTTCCATGAGCTTTCTCTGTATTCGGATGAAATAAGACATCATCTCTATTATCAATACCATTTTCTAAAAAATCAAAATGCCACTCTAAATAAACAGGAAAAAATAGCAGATAAATTGCCCCTTTAAGTAAATGAAAAAGATTTTCTCTCTCAGCTCGATTCTACACCTACCAAGAAAAATTATTTTTTTTCAAATAATTTATCAGTTCTCATAAAACAATTTTTTATATTTTTATATGCTTACTACTACATGTGAGTTTAGAGAGCTTTTTGTCTTGTCTTTTGTTCAGCTTGCTCAAAGTACAATCAGATAAAAAAAATCAAGAAATGTGAAAATGAAATAGTTCCACGTTTGTGAAGAGACTATTTATACGAAAAATTGTCAAATGGATGCATAAAGCATGTAATGTCGAATGGTGAATGACAGACAGTACAAAAGAATTTTAAGTTTTTGTGTCTACACTCCAAGAGAATTAGGAAGTGTTAATGAGTCTGGTAGCTCTGTAGTTCATAAGTACCATTACTACTACCAATTACTAATAAATTTAACTTTTTCTATGAGAAATTTAGTTCTTTTTATCTTTATTTGAGCTCGAAAACGGTAAAAACTTTGCCGATTTCTTTTGGTGAATTTTCGACCGTAGAAAATTACTTCAAAGCAAGCGGAACTATTCATTGAACTATTTTGTAATTAAATTGTATGATGTTTAAATTCAACAGTGATGAGTGGAAAAACGTAACGGTTGCAAATCAGTAAACGCAAGCTGTTACTGTCATGTTTAAAGAAGGATTAGATATTAAGCTCTAAATGCATTCTCTCCTCTCGATATAATAAACTACAAGATAAACTACTTGATGAACTATTAAATTTAAATCACTTAACATAAAAAGATTACATAAGTTGTGAAATAATGATGGAAACTTGAAATTCCCTAATTGAAATGAAAAACAAGAAGCAAAAAAGATTTGTCAAATATTCCTTTAAAATGAATTTTATGTACCTGATAGAATATTTAGGTGATAAATATTTATTGAAAGTTTGAAATCTTTTCAATCACATAAAAGTTTTGTATAACTAGCACAAGAAGACTTGCGAAAATTATCGTATCGATATTGAAAATTTTTAAATTGACGTCATTATGAGGTAATCACTTCAGAGTTTTCTTTTTTAGTTAATGTTCACCGATTGAATCATCAGTTAAACGCTTTTAAAAGTGTTTCTCACTACTTTTAACTACAAAAATACCATCAAAAAGTTTAATATATCAAAAAAACGCATGAATATAATAAAAATTTGGTGAATTTATTTACCTGGAATCAAACGTCTATTCATACCTTTTTGTTCTTTTGCAAATTTGACATCATTTTCCACATCATGACTACATCATGGTTTTAGTTTCTTCTGTTTTCACGTTTCTACAACCTCAAACGAAAAAGTTATGTCTTGGAAATATTTTTTAGGATTTTTATTCAGATTGCTGAAATTTTCATGACAAGCAAACTGTAGCATTAAATTGTAGAAAAGCGACAAAAATTAAAGTTTTAAAGTGAATAACTATTAACATGGGAACACTGAAGTGAATATCATTGATTATTTAATAATTCAATGAAGTTCTTTTAATATTTTATACCAATCATGATGTGGAGCATCGCATCAAATATTTGAATAAGTATAAATTGTAAATATGTAGAAATTATTCAGGGAAACGTAATTCAGCAATCATTTAATTCGGGATTTTTACATTACTTTATTTATAATTCACGGTAAGCTGCTTAAAATGTAATCGATATATTTATTGAATACTTCCGTAATTATGAAGTAAACGACTCCTTAAAACATTTAACATTTGTGCGAAAATTGATCTAAAGATGACCAATTTCGTTGGTTTACTTTATAAGCATTTTTCAAATGGTTCATTTGTTCCATCACATGTTTGTTTAATTGCAACAAATAATAATTAGGTAAAAATGTTTGTGAAGAGTTTTTCTCCAAAAAAATCTAATGGATCATTTTACATACAAATCTATCTCTAGGCAGTTGGAAGAAAATCGTTACTTAAAAACAATAAATTAGAAATCAGGTTTTTTGATATTTACTATTCTTAGACATTGTGTCGCTGAGTATAGACCTTACCATCGGGAAATTTTAGGGCGGAAATTTCCTGATTTCCCGGTCATTTTCTTATTTCCTATTTTCCTATTTTAGGCATAGGAAAAAATAGGAAAATAGGAAAAAATTTGCAACGAAAAACATAAGATTTTGAGCCGTTTTTCGTTCTTTAACATTAAAATATTTTGAATTTTAGGATAGACCGTCATAAATTGTTTTATAACCGGTGTGGAAAGAACAAATGAATTAAAAGCTTCTGTAAATATAAAGTGGAAAAGAAGAATTCCAAAGGCCTATTATAAATTATTTTAATTAATTTGACTTAATTCTATTTCCTTTTCCACATCAGATGCCATCATTTGTTTGCAAGTTAATCTCGAAAATTAGAAGAAATAACCAATTGCTATTTTTTACTTATCTTAGCAATCAAAACATTATTTTCTCATTAATGTTCAAGGGGAATATGAGTTTTATCATAATTTACCAAGGGCTTATGTAAAATTACTCCAAAAATTATTTTTTATCATCTCAAATTTCATTATTTTCAAAGAAATGTAGCAATAATTAGTAACGGAGGTATTGATCGCACATCAGAAAAACTTTTTGGAAAATTAATTTGCTATTGGGAGCAAAAAAATAAATTTTCTAATGTTTTCCTATTTTTCCCATTTTTCCTATTTTCCCCCCTAAAATCCGTTTTCCCGTTCCTATTTTTCCTATTTTCAATTTCTTAGGAAAATTGATAGGTCTAGCTGAGTATATTGAAATAATGGAACACTAACAACCACATCTTATAAACACATGTAGAACCCAAATTAAATTATACATAACTTCAAATATCTACTTGACTATGCTGAATTGAAAAGTAGGAAGTAATCAATAAATCAAAATTGAGTCGTACCAACTCATGAGAAGATGTCAATTTGGAATCGTGTTGTGCTCTTATTTTATCAGTAATTAATCTTAATAAATCTCTGCGGATATTTCTGCGACTGCAGTAAAGTGTGATCATAACAATAAATAAATAATAATGGTGCAAAATTTTCCACCCATATGCGCTTTAACGCCATGAAACATGCCAATTATGATAACACCATGACTTTTAAACGAGAAGGAAGGAAGAAGACTCGACTTAGAATGAATCATGCATTAAATCATGACGATGGCGAGTGATTATGACATAAGATAGATTACATGACTTTAGTGAATATTTTAAAATAAAAGAAATAAAAGTAAGAGAAGCCAGAATTATTCTTGATTATGAATGAAGCTTACTAAGAAAGAAGAATGTTTCATGTTATAAATATTGTGTGGTTGTAAATAGATATAAAGTTTTTCAAGAAAATTTCAGTTTAAACAATTAGGACTAAAAATAATAAAATTGCCAAACATTATTTTTAATTTAAGTTACAAGTTTACATTAGACAACTTTACAAGTTCTAGGAAAATCACAAAATGCATTCTAATTGTAAATTGTCCAGTCCTTAGAGAGTTTAATGTCATTCCACCATATCAAGAAGCTTAAATGATTCAAACTTTTTTTCGAAGCTAAGTAACAAGGCGTAACATAATCCATGTAGGTAATATTTTTAATTACACGTCTTGAAATAGCATTTTTTCTAATAATTAGTTTATACAAAGAGAAGCACGAAATTTACAATTTAAATTAAATAAAAAGCACGAAATGGTAATTATAACTATTTATTAATGTGAGGATATTTATTACTACCTAGGTAGAAGTTCCATTTCCAAAATAGTAATTGTGCTGCTTTTACAAAAAGTTCTTGTAATTTGCGTGTAATCAAGAAATGAATAAAACAAAAAACTTCTTTTTAAATAAATTTACAAAACTTTTAAACTTATTTAAAAACTTTCATAAAGTGTGAAAAGAAAAGCGATACATAGGAATTTTTTTTTTAATTTTTGTACACCTCAATTTCAGCATAAGAAGTTCATATCATGAAACAGAAATTTATTTTTATTATTTAATTTGTGTCTAGTTAGAAATGTTGTTGAAAAATGTATTTTAGTGCTGTGAAAATCATAAACGTAAACTTTTAAAAACTGGGCTTCAAAACAAACTTCTAATCTGAATATTTTGTAGATGGAGGCCATTTCTGATCTCGTCCTAAAGTTGATGACGACAAACTTATGGAAAAAACAGCTTTTGAATATTTTTTATTGAAAGTTTAAAAAGTTTTTATTTTATCGAATTCTCTTTTCACACTCACAGTCTGATCGATTGCTTAATGCAGGAATGTAGAAAGAGAAAATAGTAACAAATGGAACGTTACATGACTGCCAAGTTTTTTGAATTTTAATGCACATTTTAGCACTCTCTGCATGATAAAACTTTGAAATAATAGATTTGAATCAATCCAAAGAGACCTGAAGTTATTTCGATTTGAAGTTATTCTAAAATCATTTAAATAAAAACCAAATTAAGATTAATCACACCAGCAACATTAGACAGAATAAAATAATGAAATAAGATCATGAAGCTGATGTGGTACTCACAGTTGGTGTTCAGTATGTAGAACACATAGACTAAATTTGTACTTTCTTACCTGCAGAGTGTTATTAGACTTTTCGTTTTTAATTTCACGACACAAGAAACGTTTCTTTTTCAAGGTCTTGAGAATTTCTTCTGATATTTTCTACTTCATTAATCTTCCAGCTACTTCAAGACTGACTTAGATTATTAAAATTCTCTTAAAACGTTTTTAAAAGCAAAATTTAGGTAAAAAAATTTACTTTAAAAAAAGAAGTGAACAAGTTCCGTTATGATAGATATTATGCAATTAAATCCGGCTCATGCCATGGTAAAACTAAGAAATAAAAAGTTGTGAGCGACGTTGTTCCGGGTGTTTTGTGTGGTGATTACAAAATTTTCGAAAAATATTTTTACATTAACATTTTGTGAATGAGTGTGCGAAGCTGAAAGTTAATGAAATATTCAGAAACGTGATCGTCAATGTTATTTCCATTTCTCTTTATTGTTGCTTTTCAAATGTCTATGCTCTTGTCAACTTTTTTCATGCACTTGATTATAGGTGAATAAACTCGATAAAATGCGAAAATTATTTTATCCACTTTGCGGGATTCCTATGCAATTTAGAAATGTGTAGCTCAATGCTTTCGGTGTCAAATCATGGTCACATCATAGATTATTAGCGATTGAATTTGTTTCTTTTATATATGTTCATTGAAAATTTTTATGAAAAGATATTACTAAAGCTCTCCTTTGTTGGAAATATTTTATATCAAACACATTCTAATTCATCTTTTAATTTATGAAAAGAAATCTAGCTCTGTGATAGATACTTACTTGATAGAAGCTACTAAATACTAAATGTTCCAGCAAAACAATCAAGTGTCATAACATTAATCTCGAAAGGATTTTTTTATATTTATCATCATACTGTATGTAAGGAAAACTTTTAATAATAATTTTCTTTTATTTCTCTTTTATTTACATTTTTAAAACATTCTTAATCGTAACAACTTTTTTTGTTAATTAATTTTGCCACAACTTTTTGCTTCGTACATTATTTAGAAACTTATTTTTTATCTTTTGGATAGAGTTAAGACATTGCAGTGGGAATCGTTTTTCAATTTACAGCTGTCTCTTATGACTTTAGAAATGTTCTCTTAACATGAAGTGAATCTACAATCTCATTTAAAAATGATTCTTTTATAAAGTTATCGTATTATTGTGAGTACTCACACTGTTGAATAAATAAAGGATGAAAGGAATAAGTACATTCAAATTACTTGTTAATTTATTTTATGATTGCGACACTTTAAGCAATCGTAAATTACACTTTTGTTGATTATGCTTGATGTAGTTTTTTTCTTATGGATAAACGAAACATAAAAGCATTTTTTTTACTGTAATTGCACGACGTCGCAAGTAATGAATATAAAATACTATAAAAAAATCCTTTCGGGATAATTTTACATTTATTCTTACATCATTCGTTTTCACTACTGCAGTCATTTCGTTTGTGATGCTTTCCATGTTATGTGTATATACATAAATATAAGTCGATGTGTGATAATGGTTTATAATAAAAGCTCGACCAGATGTGTTTGTTAACAATATACGCATACAGAATTATTATTTTTAAATAAATAAAAATATTTCCATGAATGTTAAAAAATTGTTTAATTTAAATCCTTAGTTAATTATTTCTACTTATACATACATTCATGTATGTAGGTTCATATTTATATAATAATATTTAAAAATCCTTCTTTTCAAAACAATTTCAATAAGACAAATTCATTTATTAGCAAACAACTTCTTCAATGTTTTTTTATAACATTATCAAGTGCGAATGAAAAGAGAAATTGTTACGCGATATCAGCTGAGTTGAAATAATGCAAGCAATTGCTTATTGTTATATTTGAGAACTTTGATCAGAATAACATAAAAGAATTCGTAATTTACTAAATTAACAATCTGATTAATGTTGTTTACTTCTCTCTTTTTTCACTTCCCCAACATGATTTTCTAGAGGTGTTTAAAAATAATGTTAACCAGTATGTCGCTTTAATCTATTAAAGTTTTATTTTCCACAAACTTTTCAGAAACATATTGAGCATTAAATCAAAAGAATTTATTTATACATTTTGTGGCATGCATTTCCATTATTTGAAGTACTATCAAATGAGAATATGGATCAGGTATTATAAAATTTAATTTAATTAATATTTGCTTGAATATTTGAGTTAACACGTGCAAAACCACGTGCAAATTTTTTTTTTGATTTTTTTGTGTATTTTTATTTAAAATTCAATCCCTTTCTGTATCTACTCTAATCTGCAAATTGTGAATGAATGCAGAAAGGCAAAGCTGATGTTTAAATAATTTGAAAGAAAAATGAATCTGAGAATAAAAATTTTACTAAATGAAATCAATAATAACATCGATTAATTTTCAAATTTCAATTTATAATATTTTTTATGTCTACAAAGCTCATTTTTCATGACTCATTCCTAAAAACTTCTTTGTAGCTAATTTTTATTTACTTGAAAATAGAACAATTTCTCATACTTACGCAACAATTCAAGATTAGATAAAACATGAAAATAAAGAAAATGCTTCTCGTATCATTTCTCAGGTTTTTCAATGCAGTTCTTTTGTTCTTAAGGATTCAGACCAGTTTTGTGTATTCTCTGATTTAGATGAACATCAAGTTTTTACCGTCATGATGAAATCCATGTTAGACATAACCAGAAAAGTTTTTCTTAATATCAACGTATTCAATTTTGGAAATGTATGAGACATGTATGCATAATTTTTAGCACTGCAGATGTTTAATGTGAAATTTAAAAAAAGCTTTGCAGTGAGACAATGATGTGAAATGTGGATAAAGAGATTGTTCATGAGAGTATTGGATCAACATTTAAGATATGATAAAGTATGAGGAAAAGCATTACCTAGTGACGGTGTCTTAATAAAAAGAAAATGAAAAAACTTTTCACTTTTTATTCCTTTTTAACATTTTTTTTCTTCTTTTTTCTTTCGTCTCAAGTTGCATCTACGTAACAATATACAACCTAATAAAGAGACATTACATCTAAAGATTAATCGTCTTAAATTAATAGAATAATTTAATCCAATTACAAATGAAGAAAAATTTCACATGACTGATATTAAAATAATTTTAAAATATTTGATTAATTTCTGATGATGATGTTCAGATAAACAGAATATCGAGTTTACAATGTTAAAAAATATCGAAATGCATCAAAATTAAATTTTAAACATTTACGAATAAAACTTGAAGTTAATGTGATAATTTTGCATCAACAAACAAATTTTTTTCTGTTCTCGTTTTAGCCCAACAAAGCGAAAAAATTGAAACATATGAAAAAGGACGTGCAATGGTTCCTTTATTTTAGTATTTATGATACAGTTTTAATAATTTATTTTTATGTTTCATGTAAAATGAACACAAGCGTTGCTACATAAATGTAGAGAGCTATAAACATAAAGGAGCAATAATAATTTATGATTTGAAGTAGTGTCGAAATCATAAATGGCAAATAGTTCTAATAGAAATGGAATCATCTTTATTATGCTATTCATTAATATCTTTTTTACAATAAGTTTTGATTAGTATTTTAAAGATTTGTTACAAATATAATATTTCAGTGCAAACATGTGATAAAATAGCGTGATGACTATTTACAACGATGTTTTATTATTACACAAATCTTCAGAAAATCAAACATAATGTTTCTATTCATTATGCAATTTCAGCCCCTAAGTCGCAATAAAAAATAATTTACTCTATCGAGTTTACCTTTAATACGATTTTATATGATTGAATGTCATAATATTATATCCACTTTGGTTAAAATGAAATGACTTTAATTAATTACTATAAGAACAAAACCTTCGTTGAAAGGGAACCTTTCCGTTGTTCGTTGAAGCAAGAAATTTTATTTTTCCTTGGGGAAAGCTAACACAAAATAAAATATGAGATGAATCGCATAAAAGGAAGATTATTTTATAACGACTGAAATGACACGAGAAATACACCACTAAGCGTACATTGAAAAGTGAATCGTGCAGTCGAGAATGCCGCCACGAGAAGTGGGACATTTCACGAATTAATTTTCTTACATGAAGTAACAGATGATTTACATTTCATTATGCAAATACTTTTATAAAAGGGGAAGCGGATTTATGTTTCCGTTGCATCAATTATGTGACTTATTTAATTGTAAATATTAGGATGTTAATGTAAAATTTAATGTTACCTTCTAATTTCAAAGCTTTATGAAAAAAGCTTGACAACGAAACAAATTTTTTTTTTAAATTTTATTGTTTTCTAACAACCTTGGTGATGGTATTTTTGTATTAAAATTTAAAAAAAAAATTGATTTGATCTTTCAAGACGTCTTCACCAACAGCAGCATGAAATTGTTTGTTATTTAGCTTCTCTCGTATAAGTTGTACAACTAGTTTTGAAGAGACAAAATTCATCAGTCAGTTTTTATTTTCGCAGTATTAAAACATCTTTGAAACTGAAATGGTGAAGAACTATTTACGTAAGCGTTCATTCAAAAAAAGGTTACTTATTATTACTCTTCCGGTTGCAGTAGTTGTAGTTTTTGTTATTTGTAAAATCAATGATAATGAAGCGAATGTTAATTATTTAAACAAATATGAAGAAAAACTCAAATGTAAAGAGTGGGATCTCAATAGTATGAAGCAAGAGGTGTTAGGACCGGGCGAAAATGGTGAAGGTGTGAAGTTAATTGAACCAGAGTACATCGAACAGAATCTTGAAGCTTATAACGAAACTGGATTTTCTGTTCTGATCTCTGATATGATTTCACTGAATCGAACAATCGTTGATTTTCGGGCAGATGCTTGCAAATCTCGGAAATATCTCGCGTCATTGCCAAACGTTTCAGTCATCATAATATTTCGAGATGAAGTGAAAAGTGTTTTGCTTCGCACAGTTCATGGTGTGATTAATAGAACTCCATCCGAACTTCTCCATGAAATAATTTTAGTCAATGATAACAGCACACATCGAGACCTTTACCGGCCTCTTCAAATCTATGTCAGAGAAAATTTTCCGAAAAAAGTTAAAATAGTGAATTTAAAGGAACGTAAAGGATTGATTGTTACACGACTTGAAGGAGCTAGGAGAGCTTCAGGAAAAGTTTTAGTGTTTTTCGATTCTCATGTTGAAGTTGGAATAAATTGGCTGCCGCCACTTCTTGATCCAATCGCAAGAAACCGAAGGCTTGCAACAGTTCCTGTAATTGATAATTTTGATCCAGATTTCTTTTCGATGTCAAGTAACAGTCTCTATGGGACACGTGCAGGGTTTGATTGGAATTTAATTTATCGAATATTCGAAAGGAACATTCCTGAAGGCATCGATCCACTGAAGCCGTTTCCAAATCCAATAATGTTAGGATGTGCTTTTGCCATTGATAGAATATTTTTCTTGGATGAACTTGGTGGTTACGATGAAGAATTTAGAATTTGGAATGGCGAAAATTATGAGCTGAGTTTTAAACTTTGGCTTTGTGCTGATGGATTATATGAAGTGCCATGTTCACGTGTAGCTCATTCATTTAGAAGAATAAATCCAACAAGAGTAAGTAAAGAAGATTTTCTTAATCGAAATTTTAAGAGATTAACTGAAGTATGGATGGATGAGTTCAAAAATGCTGTTTATAGTCGAAATCCTGAAGCATTCGCAAAAACTGATGCTGGGGATTTAACAAAACCAAAAGAAATTCGATCAAGACTAAATTGCAAACCATTCAAATATTTTCTTGAAGAAATTGCTCCAGAAATCACTTCAAGATTTCCATTACAAAAAGATCATGCATTGTTTGCATCAGGACAGATAAAATCATTGGCAGATGAAAATATTTGCTTGGATACGCTTGGCAGAGCAGAAGCTGAGCCGATCGGACTTTATGCTTGTCACCCTCTTGATAGCAATCAGATGCCACCGCAAACGCAGTTCTTTCGTTTAAGCTTCTTAAAAAATTTGGTTCTAGGATATTCCGACTACTGCCTCGATTCATGGCGCACATCAGTACTTTCATGTTCAGGTTCAAAAGGAGGTAATCAATATTGGAAATACAATCCTGAAACTCATATGTTGATCAATGGCTATGATGACAATAATGAATGTCTGACAGCCGTATTCAGCAATCAATCTTTGACAATACAAAAGTGTGACAAACAAAACCAGTTTCAAAAATGGAAATTTTCTTATGAGAATGAGACAGCACTGAATGCTTGGAATGACATTTATGGCTATGGATCAATCGATTTTAGAGATTATTCAGTAATTTCTCTTGATTCAATATGTGAATGAAAAGTAAATTTAATTTAATTGAACGATTATTTTTATTCGTGATAATCTTATAGAATAATTTGAAAAGTGAAGAAAAAGATCAAATTAAGATTCACTATCATTACCGCTGTCGTATTCAGCAATTGAAAATACAAAAGATAAACAACCAAACTTCAAAAGATATCCATGTTGTAACAAAGCAGTTCCTTCCCATCCTGCAACCATTGGACATCGAAGTTTACACTCACATTGAGCGAATTCTTTTGCTGACATTCTGTAGAAGTTAAATGAAATTTTTTGAATAGTTTTCAAATTAAAATTGTAAATAAAAATTGAATATTTTACTTGATATCATCGATTTTAGAAGTTTCAACACCCTCACGAATTTTTTTCTTCGCATCAAGCATATTTTTGATCTTCGATTGAATTGCGACACGTTTATCCTTCAATGGGCTTGTTGGTGTTTCACAAATGCTAGTTGGATGCTCACTAAAGTCACAGCAATATAATTGTCCGTTTACTTCAGATCCAAATTCAGAATAGTTTAACAATTCATATTGTTTAGTGACGTCATCATAAAAAATTACGGCATGCTTCGATGATGCAAATGCACAAGAGCCAAATCTTGAAAGATCCAAGTCATTATCAGCTCCAATTCCGATTGAAAAACTTCGATATCTCATGTAAATTGAAAGGTTTAAACTTGGAGCCACAGAAAACCAAACACGACCAGATAAATAATCATTAGCAAATGTCAGTACAGCTCTCGATCTAACTTTGGACTTATTGATTGAGTTCTCCAAAGATAAAGCAACCGAATGTGCTTTATCAGAGTCGGTTCTTAAATGGAATGGCTGTTCACGCATTCTTATTATAGGCTTTTCGTCACACTCTCTATTTTTTGTGTCATTCGCTAATGGAATTGGGAAACGATGAACATCCCACTTTGCAACTTCGACTACAGTTTGCGATGCAACACTTTTGTCTTGGAATTTTTGAATGAGGTTTGGATTTTCGTTGACGATTTGTTGGAATCGTTGGAAAGCCAAGAGTTTAATTGTTTCAGTATCAAGATTTGCCAACTGTTCATTAATCGATTGAATTTCTGAAGGTTGCAAAATTGACAAATTTTGATCGCTTCGATTTTTATTCTCAACAAATTCCAAAGCTTCTTGTTTTACTTCCATTTCTTTTGTCGTATCAGTATTTGAAAGTTCGGAAGTCGACGAAATATTCTCCATGGCAACTCCATCGTCTTTTCTAACATCAGATTCATCAATCTCTATTTTGATTTCATCAAACGATAAATCCAACTCTTTTGCAATCGATTTGCATCTTTTGTTTTTCTTAATTGAATCCTTTGATTTATTCAACTTTTCAATCAATTCGTCGTCTTCTTCTTCCTTTTCTGGTTCAACAAGTAAACCGTGAATGTCTTCTTGATCATTGAAAATCATTTTGAGACGCTTTCGAGCGTTTCCCAATGCTTCCAGATCATCATCGACAACACTAATATCATCTGAAGGAAAATCAACACGAACTGTTCCACGTTTTCTCAAATTGTCTATTCTTACTACATCTCTAAGTGATGGAAGCAATTTGGGAGGATTCTTATAATGATGACGAATGATTTCAGGTATTTCAACTTCATCGCGTGGCTTCGGTTGAAGTTTTGTACGAAACGGTGGATTTTGCGTATGAACTTTTCGAAAAAATTGAAGTTTTACGACTTCATGATCGATTGGATCAGTTCCAAATTTATCCCAAACCTTCATTCGTTCTGTGGCAGATATTGAAGAAATTAAATGCCAATCCTGAAATGAAAATTAAATATTAATAAAAATTAAAGTTGAATTAAGTCTCGAACTAACAGTAAATTGTTGCGGATGATTTGGACACATCCAACGCCCAGCTGGCAGTGCAGTCATTGGAGGATTTAAGCAGTCTTGATGAAAAAATAATGTACAATAATCACACGCTATCAAAGGAGCTTTTTTACACGACTTGTTGCATGAGAAGCAAAGTTTTGCAGGCAAAGCCACGCAACCATGTGAGTCTAATTCTATGAGTCGTTTATTTTTAACTCTTCTTCCGTTTCTTATTGGTTCGACTCTCTCAGTACCTGGAAACGGAAAAGGTTCGGTCATATCCGAAGGAAGCTCAAATTGTTTAGGATTGAGTAAGCTTGCAGCACGAATCAACTCTTCAAATGGTGATAACTCTTCTGGTTTGTCGGCTTTTTCTACATTTATCGGTTCTTGCGTTTCATCTGTTTTAGCAATTTCAACCGTCTCAATTTTTTCATCTTTACTCGCTTCATCTTCAATCTGCATTGCTTCAGAGGAGTCAGTTGAAGGTGTTGTACTTTCAGATGTTATTATTTCTGTTGATTCAATTGTAACCTCAGAAGCTTCATCTTTTATTTCAGAAATAATGTTTACTGGAGGAGATTCAACATTTTCTTTAGTTTCTTGTTGTATGATTTCCGTTTCTTTCGCATTTTGTTTTTCCTGTTCTTCTTTATCCTTGGCAATTTTCTCTTTCATTGTGCAAGTGTGACAAAGCCACAATCCCATTGGAATGTCTTTTTCCTCTAATGGTGGATCGTGACATGACAAATGAAAACTTGCGGTACAGAAATCACAACATAGTAAATTTCCAGCTTCAGCGCAAGCATCGCAAGTATCATGATTCTGTCTACCAGCTCTTTTAAAAGGATTTGGTGGTTTTTTTCGATATTCTTCGTTTGGTGGCGCAATTAATCGTTGAATTTCCTGAAATATAAACATTTTAAAAACTCAAATAAATAAAATCTTTCATTAATCATTTTACTTACTCCCATCAATCCTTCACTATAATCACTACTTGTTCCATACTGAACTTTTTGTCTTGACATATTTTAAGTTATTCTAGGCTGTTAATTAATCCAAGAATTTCAAAAATCTTTTCAAAAATTTTAAACAAGAAATGTTTGTATCGAAAAAAGGGCTGTCGATTGCAACATTTTCAAAATCTTCCTAATGCCGGTTCAAAAAGAATGATGTAACGGTTCAAAATCATATTGGGGCGTTCAATAAATTCTTGCAACAATAAAAGTTCATAAAATATTTTAATCAAAATTATGTGGTATTATAATAGCAAATGATATGAAAATTAATGAAAGTGATAAATAGGGAGCAATTTTATTTAATGCAATTTTCACAAGTTCTCAAAGTTCTCGATACAAACGCTAATTACATAGAATTCTTTTGTCACTACTCAATTGACATGAAATAGGTATTTGATTGTGTGCATTAAAGATTAAATAAAGAACTTATAAAATCATGCTCTAGTGTAAAGTGCATTTTTTAAATTGTGTCAAAAAGTATTTCATTAATAAACGAAATAATTTATCAAATATAAATTGCCAATTGTCAAGCATTTCCGCGAGAAGTCATCAAAGTGAACTTTTATTTAGTTAAAATATTTTTATAAAAAAATGGCACGAGACTATGATCATCTATTTAAACTTTTAATCATTGGTGATTCAGGTATGTTGTTCTACAATAAAACAATAAGAATTTTAATATTTAACAGATTTTGTGGGCGAGGTCTCAGCGAGCGTGATTTAAATTCCCCTAATTTGCACAATTCTTCCAAAGTGTCAGATTAATATACTTGCCTGATAACATATAATAAAAAGAGAGGTCTGTGTTGTATGATAAATTCCATGAATTAAAAAAGAGTTTAAATTGGTTTCAGTCATTTTCACAAGCAAAAATACGCCGAAAAGTCTACAACAACAAAGAAGAGATTCGATGACTCATAACTTTATGTATTATATTTCTTAGTCCCAGAACTGATTATTCTTTTTCATTCCACTTCCTTTGCTGCTGTCATAAGAGTAAGAAAAGACCCAAAAACATTCATCACACAACGAAGAAAAAATGAATGACCGCTTCAGCATTAATTAAGATGCGATTTACTGAACATTAGATTGAACCGAAATCACACATGCTTCAAATTTTGGTATTCAAGTGTTGGTGAGATCAACATCATCATTATTAGTTTTTCTTTAATTATGCCCCATTCTCCCACATTTGTAGCTTCATGGATAATTATCTAATACATGCGAAAGAGTCATGAAGGGATTCTTTCGAGTTTCGTTCTCCTTGAGTGCTTTCGTTCACTCGCCTGACCATCGTATTTCTTTTGATTCTTTCTAGCTGTTCATTTAACATCGTTTTCTCAATAATTCTATGTTGTTATCAACCTAACGGTCACTCCAACTTCCGATGTTAGTTATCAATTCTGTCATTTTACATTGCAATATTAAAAAATACAGAATTTCATGGTGATTCCTAAATTTTCTTATAAATTATCAATTTGCTCATTTTATTACTGCTTACAATCAATCAAATGCTCATCCTCTGCATAAGTGGAATTTTTTTTTTATGTTGATAATGATTTAAGAGTAATTCGATTCCATGATCTTCAGTTATTCTAAAATAAAAAATCGTATTTAATAGCATCAAACTAAAATTTGTTTCTCCAATGTTTTCAATTTGAATATGATTTGTTTGATCAAAAACTTGTTTCATGTTCTACACTCTGTTTATTGTATGCTCATATTAAATTCTTTCCTAAGTAGATCGCTATTTATAGATTCCTAAATTGGATTTGATACAATCAATTCCCTTTTTCGACTACCATTTAGGTATTTAAAAATCTCAGTTAAGATATCGTTTTTCATGCTCTCATTTTCATTTGAGTTCACTAAAATTAAAAAAAGTTTGTGAAAAAATGGTGCAGAGTTTTTTGCTCACGAGACTTTTATTCAATTCATTCATGCTTTGATTTTCTTTTTGTTTTCCTATTTTTTGAGGAACAAAATCTATAATTGAAAAAATGAAAATTGTTGATGGCAAAAAAACTTCTTTTTGCTTATTTTTTTCAGGTGTTGGCAAAAGTTCACTTCTCATACGATTCTCTGATAATACATTTAGTGGGAGTTACATCACGACTATTGGTGTTGACTTCAAAATTCGTACAGTTGTTATCAATGGTGAACGTGTGAAGTTACAAATATGGGATGTAAGTCACAAATTTAGTAAACTGTTTGTACACAATTTGAAAAACTTTTAATTTTTAATTTAAAGACTGCCGGTCAAGAGCGCTTTCGAACGATCACAAACACGTGAGTTAAATTAATCAAAATATCAATCATAAAATTGTAAGACAATTCTGTTGTTTTCACAGCTATTACAGAGGTACACATGGTGTGATAGTTGTTTACGACGTGACAAATGGTGAATCCTTTGCTAATGTTAAACGGTGGCTGCAAGAGATAGATTCAAATTGTGAAGTTGTAAATAAGGTGCTAGGTGAGAGGAATAAAGTTTCAAAATATTTTTCGCAAATTTAATTGATTTCTATTTTAGTTGGCAACAAAAATGACGATCCTCAAAGAAAAGTAGTTCTTACAGAAGACGCTCAGCGATTTGCCGAACAAATGGGAATTCAACTTTTCGAGACATCCGCCAAAGATAATATAAATGTCGAGGACATGTTTTTATCAATAACAGATAGAGTCTTGCGCCATAAGAAAAATACCCAACGTCAACAGAACGAGCAGAATGACGACCGAATTAAGATTAATGACAGAAGTCAAGGAAAAAAGAAGCGAAAGTGTTGCTAGTAACATCAAAATGATTTATTAAAACAAACAAAAAAAGAACACTTGGAATGCCCAGCGATTATTACCAGCTTCAACTTTTTTAATTTCTCTTGTTATACCATTGCCCAATATCTGTTTGACACGCTTGTAAGTGCTCATTTTTTTCTTTCGTGTAAATAAATTTAGTAATCAAAATCATAATTTTTTATATTTCTTTATAAAGGATATTTGAGTAGTAGGTAAAGGGATAATGCGCCATGATTTTCAATGTTAAGTAGATGGGAACAACATATCTTATTTTTATACAAGTGTCCACAAATTTAATCGCAAAGTTTTAATCGTCTTTGTATCCTTCTTTCTATTTCGTTCTGTTCTATCATATCAATAAAAAATATCAAAATTACTCTCTCAAGTTATTTATATTAAATTGAATTCTCCATTAAAATCACAACAATATTCAATAAAAAAGAAATTAATGGTAACAGAAAATAGAACCATCAAGTTGAGATCTTTAATACTTATCAACAAATTCAAGATTTGATTTGAAAGATTAATTTTTACGATGCATGTCATTAACATTTTGGTTTTTGAACTTTCTTCTAACAAACCTTTTATTGCTGAAATTGTCGATATTATTATCTTCACTGATTCTACTCAATTAATTAAATATCCAAACAAAATTCCATTTGATCAAACGATAACAAAATAATTTCAAAGTTATAATGAAAATTCCAAGGAGTCGTGGGAGCTAAATAATTAAAATAAGACCTAATCTGTGTTTGATAAGTATGACAAGGCATAAATAAGAATAAATTTCAAAAATAAAAAACGAAAAATATTTGATTAAAGCAGTAATTTTTATATAATCCAAAATCTTAAAATTTCAAATTACAAACAAAAGTATGGCAAACTTTATATTTTCAGAATACTCAAATATTTCTTTTCAGTAAAGGAGTCGTTGAAGTTTCGAGAATGATCGAATTTGTAAGTAAGGCTTATGAAAATTTAGAAGGATGAAGTCATTGTTAATTATTCGACAGTTTTTGCTGGAACCTCAGCTTCTTTTTTTGTTGTTGCTGTTGCTGGAACTTCAGCTTGTTTTTCAGTTGTCGTTGTTGATGCTTCTATAGTTGAAGACTCCGTAACATTGTCAGTGTTTTCTTCAACTGGTGTTTCAGTTACATCATCTGGTGATGACTCTTTTGGTTCAACAAGGGCAATGATAATCTCTTCAGGGGTTATTTCGTTTTCTTCGATGACATAAACTGTGTCATTTAATCCAAGTAATCCAAGTTGCTTTTCTAATGACCGATAATATCTTGCTACTGGATACGTTCTTGATTGACGACATGAAACCTGAGCATCTCCACCTAATCCATTTGGACATGTACAAACAGCGAGATGATTCTTTGGAGTGCAAATTGCGTTGACACCACATTTGTTGGTACAAGCATTGACACATTGATAGTTAATACAAGCTTTATGGTCAGGACATTCAGCGTTTGATTGACATTCGCCTCTAGCACAATGTGTTAAGGCATTTCCAGTGTACCCAGGTGGACATGTACACACTGGTCTCTCGCGTTGAGTTCTATCATATCCTGGTGTGCAAATTGCATTAGTTCCGCATGGATTTGGTCGACATAAGTCTTCAGGCACAAATTTACGGCAGCTGATGAATGGATCGCCAGTCATGTCACGTGGACAGGAACATATTGGGGTCAAACCACGAAGATTACAGTCAGCATTTACACCGCATGCGTTATCGCAAGGGTTCTTGCAAATTCCATAGTAGCAAGCTGGTCGCGATCCTGGACAATCAACATCTCCGTAACATTCTGGTCGGCATTCACCGGTTGGAGTTCCAATATAACCCTTTGGACATTCACAATGTGCACGGTGGTTTATTACACGAGTGCATGTTGCTCCCTTTCCACATTGTGTACATGACTTGATACATTTCCAATTGCTGCAAAATTCTTGTGATCCGCATTCACCATCAGATTCACATTCATGACGACAGCCTGACAAAGGTGAACCTGTGTAACTTGGGAGGCATGAACATGTTGGTTGCCCATTAATAACTTCACATTTTGTGTTTGAACCACATGGACTTGGACGACATGCTGCATCTGAGAAATGAAAAGCAAAGTGGTGAAATATTTATATAAATAAGTAGGTTTGTATATCTCTAAGCAAGTTTCTGAGAAAAGTGACGCGATTATGTCGATGAATCATTCCTAAACATTTCTTGTATCGCTTTTTATGGAAATGCTTTGCATCGTCATCAACAGATGAAATGATTTAAATAAAATTCGATGTCAAGTAGCAAATTAAAGGACAAAGATTTAGATTCACGTTCAAGTTCATCACGTGTGAAATTTGAAATTCACGATTTACTTTTGAAAAATATAAGAAGCTGAATAAAAAAATTGCAGCCAACACAAAATTTGCAAAAATTATTGAAATCGTTAATTTCGAATTTATTAATATTTGTCACCTTCCGTATTTGCGTAATTATTCTGATCGTAGTTAACAGTAAGTTCGACATATAAAGCAATAATCTCAAGGTAAATTCTTGCATGCGTGGGATTCCACGCGTTGATGTTCAATGTGTTGAGTGGATTTAAAACCTAGCGCCGGAATGAACAAAAATCGGTTTCACGGTGAACTTATGTAATACGCGACGATATTGTAATAAGAAAAATATTCAAGATCAAGAACAAAGCTTTGTTGAGTTTCGTTTTCTCATTTTTGCGATTCTTTTCAACCCAAGTTTTTTTTATTTGACATTGAGAACAGCTGATGCGTCGGCGGTGATTTCTTTTGTTTCTGATTGCTGTTATTTGTCTTCAAAATTGACATGACAAAACCTCAACTCATAACAATTAAACAATTCAATAATATGGAAAATAAAAGAAGCAGGATGAAAAGATTTCATCAATTATTGAAAATGTTTAGCTGTGGGTTCAGTTTCAACTTTTTCAGATCTGTTCTAACTTTTATGGACTTTTATAGAGCTTTGATGACGTTCTTTTGTTCTGCTTTTATGAACTATTACACAACTTGATTTATGGCTACTTTTTTCTCACCTGGATCAGCCAATCTACAATGAGTATACGGATCTCCTTCGTATCTAACAGGGCAAGAACAAACAGCAACGTGATTGCGTGCTTCACAATGAGCGTTCACCCCGCACTTTCCAATACACGGGTTAGCACAAACTCCATTCATGCAAGCTTGATTGAAACCACACTCAACATGATCAGAACATTCACCTCGGTGGCAGTAAGTTAAAGGATTTCCACTGTGACCAATAGGACATGTACACACAGGGCGGCCACCCACCGTTTCTTGGCAGATCGCATTTGTTCCACATGGATTACGTAAACAGCCTTGCCCTATAAATGAGAATAACAAAGTGAGAACAATCAATAATTTATATGAAAACAAACAAGCAAACATTCAATTGTTTAACGACTACATTTCTTAATTATAATTTAGTCACCAAACTTCAAGTGTCTTAATAAGATTAAATATTTTATTATTTTTTATATTTTATGTGCCTTTGAATTGTGCATCATTAAGATTGTTAAACAGCTGAAGACTATTTTCGCTTCCGAATACTGTTGAAGTTACAATGCGCTCGTCGAATAGATTTCCATCGTGATTAATGAATTTTGTTACCGTTGTAGTCTTTTGTTACGATTAGATGTGAAATGAAAAAAAATATATAAGATTGTTAAGGATACTAAATATTTAATCAGCGTTTTTTTATTACCGCATCACCATTTTTGAATACTTTTGTCTCTTTGTTCATAACCATACCTGACACGAGCCAAACGCTCTGTGTGATCAAGACGAGAAAGGCAAAGACCTGAAAGATTGAGAATTTAAATCTTCTTTCCTTGACTCGTGATAACTTAGACCAGGTGGCGAAAAAATTAGAGATTATCTAAGTTAAGATGATNAATTTGGCTGACTTTATTGAAGAATTTCGACACCATTTGAAGAAGTTTGGCGTTTATTTTCCCATTCGATTGATCAAAAGTTCTTCTTTTATGTTTACACAAACCTTGAACATTTTTGAACACTTTAAATTTCAATAATTTTGAACACTTTTACTGCGAAAATCTTAAAAATTTGGCTGATCTAACGAGAGCGAAGCTAAATCGAAAACTAAGCCCAATCGAATGGCATGTTATGAATTTATACTTTTTTCCTCTCATCAATGCGAGAATCTCATTCAACACATTTAAAAGTTTGCTTGAAAGGTGCTTGACGTCGTACACAAGAGAAAATCTCAACGACGCCTAACTAACTAACATAGTGCCGGTTCTATTAACGAAGCGAATTCTGATAACAGATTAATGAAGTGAAAGATGTTGTGTGGTATCATCAATAATGTCTTATGAAGAAAAAAAGATTATCTCATACATATCAGTGAAAGAAGAAATAAAATTGCCGTAGAGTAACGAATCGAATTTGGTGAGTGATCGTTTGTGGGTAATATCTAATTTGGACACCTAATTTATAAATTTTTAAGTCTAAAGTTTTATTTTTTCAACAATAAAAGAATACACGATGAAAGTTTTGGGAGTAAATTTCATTTTAGGCTACTCACTGGGCCTTTAAATAAGTTTATTTTCCCAAAATAAATTATTTAATTTCGTCGTAGAAATTCTGTTTCGAAATCAGCCATTTTTTCTTCTCACTTCAATTTTTCAAGATGCAAAAGAGTGCATCAGTTTGAGTTAGTTTACTTCTTCAATTGTATTAGATGATAGGA